GTTCTAACCATTTCATGAACAACATTGCAATACCAATAAGTTCTTTCCTTCCTAATAATTTAATATATTTTCTCTAAAAGTTTAACTTTATAAAATTTCCGTTATTAAAAGACGATTGTGAACATCCACTCTGAGGTTTTCAGTGAATACCTATCTTATTATATTATTCATTACCCTGTCAAATTGTTCTTTAGTCCTTTATACATGGAATGGAACTTAAAACTTCACAAAAAATCACCATACTTTTTAAAATACCGGTCTATATAAACCTAAATGTTCTACATTTTATGTAGGTAAGATAAATAGATATTTTAAATTAAAATATTACGAACACATTTCCGAAATAAAATTAAAAAAGACTGTCCCTAATTCAAATTTTTGCTAATTATGGTTTAAAAAATAACCATAATATACGTTTTAATTTTAATAACGACTTAGAAATATTAAATATCCAAAATAACATTAACATTAATTTAGTTTTAGAAGAATTACATATACACAATTAAATAAAAATAATAGGGAAAATAAATAGAATAAATAAATAAAGATAATACAGAAAAATAATTTTCGTAATATTTTAAATATACAAATCGATTTTAAAAATAATATCTTTTATTATTACATTTTAGATAATAAATTATAACCAAATAATTTATATTTTTTAAATGATCTATATTTAATAATAACTCTTTCTAAATAATCTCTCCTATTAAAATAAATTATTTCTATATTCTATGTAAAGCGATTAATTTTCATAATTTTTTTTTCTAAGTATTCCTTCATTTCATTTATTTGTGATCAGTCGCGTTTTATATTATGACTGAGATATACCTGATGATGAATTTTTAATTAGAAGTAAAAATAGTAAACTGGTCGTATAATACATTTATTCTATTACTCCAGATGACGCATTGATTCATTAATTTATTTTATTTTTATATATACATTTTTTATTTAGTTATGAGTATTAACCATTTTGATAATTTTTTTTTACCTCAACTTTAAAATTGGTACATCATTAAACAAATATTATTAAAGAAATTATTTAAAGCTTATTTAATTATTTTACTATAAAATGATATATATATTGTTGTCAAAGAATCACAATCAACTGAACTCCGCTCGGAATCGATTTTTTTTAAGCAATGGTTTGTCGTTGTTTACTGGTATATATTAAATTACCGTTAACATTGACTGCGTCCGTCCTCGTTATCCTAGAACGTCTTTTTTTCTACATAATAATATTCGTTTACATCAGAATTTTTTATTAATTATATTTATTCAAAATTTTAATTTACGGCTAATAATCAACATATTATCGAAGTTACACAAACGAAAGCGCAATGTGTATGCGTACTGTTGGTGGTGTATTCTTGTATTTAAGGCGCCTTTCTGTATATTATTCAATCTGTGATAGCGTCCAATGCGAACGTACCAAAGATAACCTATCATGGCATTGGTGGAAAACGCGCAATGATAATGTAATTTGGTTATCTTACTGTTATGCCTGTATATTTATGCCATGATAAGAACACGTGAACATTCTCGTATATCAGGAACTTATCATTGATACCAACTAGTCATAGCAAAGATGTTTTACGCACGTAGGGTCTCGCACGTATATACTGGAAACCTATGGTTTATAGATAATATTATCTATAACCGTATACAATTTATGGTATAACAAACAAACCATAATGATGTTCTCCCGTCCATAGAGAACAAATAAATGTATTAATCATCCATGGCAACGGTCAGGATGAATTGTAAAATCGCCATGCATTCTTATTTAACGATGACATGCGAGAACAAATTTTGAAGATAAACCACATGGTGAAATAATTAACATAAGATAATCAATCATACTTGATTTGAATTTATAATGTAATTATTTTTCTTGTCTGATTATTCAGATTTCTTCTGTTGACCGTGGTGAGTAATATTACAATATTTATCATTTTATATTTATTTTTCTATTTATTATCTATATTACTAGTCATATTACTATAAGCCATCCAGCTTATAATCGGTCTGATTATTAATTAAAAAATGACTTAATAATTGCCGTGATGCAAGGGGGCTATTCTGCCAATAAAACTAAGTACACATGCATTAGCTTAGGTAGTTTGTATTATACTATTCCACAAAAAGTTTTTTTAATAGATTTCCTTAATCATTTTTATTTGCATAGTAATAATATAATAATATTATTGATCATTTAATATCTTTATTAAATAGTCATAAAACTAAAGAAATACTAAAATTATGCATCTCCAAAAACAGAAAACAGCAGAATTAAAGCAAACATCAAGTAGGTACATACATATACTTCCACTTTTTAATAAAAAAAATAGACCCCCCAGATTGTCAAAATTTATTATGCAGCAATCGTTCTTTAAATGAAAAAAGATCATTTGTAAGTAGTATGTTATAAGTTAGGAGTCACTTGTCTACCCGCGAACAGTACACCACCGTCTGACTTTTTAATATATTGTTTCACCACTAGAATCGAATAATTCTAGAACTTTCTTTAAATTTCTTTTAAAATTATTTATTATTATTAGGTACTCAGGGAAGTTTATTACCCTTTACTATTCATCTAGACTAAATTTTAAACTTTTTTTAAACCTATTACTCATAAACAGTATTCAGTACCAATATTACTACACATATTATAATGTTGGAAAAAATTCTCTATTTGGATTCACATAAAAGGAGATTTATGTATGATTTTTTTGTATACACTCATTTAAGGTAACTTAAAATAGTCTTAAAATAATAAAGGTACAACAATTTCAATTGATTGAAAAAACAGACATTAAATTTACTAATAATCCTCTAAGAATATTACTGGTTTGTGGTCAAGATATGCTCTATTATTTAAAATATTCGTAATGAAATGTTTGGTTATGTATGGCGATTAGAGTTGGTTGCCGTCTAAGACAGTAGCTGCGAATTGTCATTGACAATTATAAGTACCTATTCAATGTTATTGACTGACTTTTTAAAACTAATTACTTGAGTATGGAATCTATGAAATCAATTAAATCTACTGATTTCACTATGATAAAAATGTATATTATTAGAAACTTTACAGTTGTCCCACGAAAACTCAAATGCAATAACATTTCTTTTGTTCCTTTTTTTTTTTTATATTTATGCACTATGATTCCCTTATTTTATATATTTTTTATTCTTTTAAAATTAAGTTTAATTATTTATGAAATCCAAGATAGACATTTTATAAATTTATTTTAAAACAAATATTTAGATACTAATTATGAATTTTTAAGTTTTTAAAATTGTGTGAAGTTTACAAAAAATAATTTTTATTATTATTATCTTAAGTTTTATAGTCTGTTTAAGCTTATTACTGCATCACACATTTCTACCACTACTACCTCCTAATTTTTCACTCTTAGGGTGTAGTAAGATCCCTTGAAACTTTATCATGCTATTTTTGTTTAGGTCTGCCTTGTAGTTTCTTTCCTAATGGTTTCCAATTCAGGACTTCTTTTGCGATCAGATTTATCTTAGTATGTGACCTAGTCAGTTGATCTAGTCTTTTGGCTCTAATTTTCCCAATTATGTTTGGTTTCAATTCAAAGGCGTTAAATATTTCTTCATTTTCTTTGTCTCGTTTTAAGTTATTCACTTTTGATCCCCATATCTTCCATAGAAACTTTCTTTCTATTAATACCAATTTCCTCTTATCCTTTAAAGTTGTTGGCCATATTTCGCACTCATATATTTTGATAAGTTTTTCTATTTGTAAATCTCATTTTTGATTTCTTCAATAGAAGTTTTGATCATAGATACCTAGACACTTTGTGTAGACACTTGTTACCTGCTGACACATTTCTTAATCTCTTTGTGATTGCATTTTGTTTTGTACCTATGCAATTTTTAAATGTGTACTCTCTGACCTGTAAATCCCTTGATTTATTTATTGGTAATTTTTCTCACATTATACACACATTTTATTTTGTTTTTATATATTTTAAATTCCATTATTTATGCATTTTGTAAACATTTTTCTATTGCTAACTATATATTGTTTTCAGTGTCTCCAACTACTACAATATCATTAGCATAGGCTTAATCTTAACCAATACTGATTTCTCGATATCAGTTCCTGTTTATTTACTATGTATGATTCAACTTACCACCTTCAGTTTAATGTTAAAAAGAATGCATTACCTTGCTTTAATCCAACTTTGGTTTTAAATTCTTTAGAATGTGTTTGCTCGAAACTTACTTTGTATCTTGGTTTTTTTTTTATACATATTATGATAGTTGATCTTAACTTGGCTGGTATACTTAACAGTTCTAGTGTTTCTTAAGCCATTTGATATCTCAGCATAACCGGCCAGGCCAGTGGACGTTCGCGCTACAGCGCTATGAAGAGGCTTTCCTGAACGCAATTCAAGACCGGCTGGGGTTGTCAACTGGGTAGGGCAGATTGGGCTCCAGGCTAGTGGGTTTTTGAACTGGAGCATGAAAACCTGGCCCCTACAATAGTGTTAATTAATTTTAATTAGTTATTAAAGGGGTGCTTCGAGACATCATATCTTTCTAAGTTGTATTTATTTAATTTGATTTGTATTATTCATGTGAGCCTGCTCTGCGAAGGGGAAAACAAGATTTCCTACAAACTAATTGTACTATAATATATTATGGCAGTATCGGAAAATTAATATGAAAAACAGATTCTACATTGCTGTTAGTTTAAATATGAAAATAAAAGAATTTGTTTCCATAGGGCTTCATTTTTAATGGTATCGTGCACTTGACCAAAATCCATGTTTAATAAATATAGTTTCTTATTGAATTTATAATATTTCCTTATCAATTGCTTGAGCATGAATATATGGTCAGTTGTCAATCTTGCTCACAAGAAACTACTTAGGGTAGTTTTAAATATGTCTCCTATAATATCTACTGTATGTGGTTTTAGGTAGTTATGATAATGTTGGAGAATATTTTATTTTGTTCCTACTTAGTAAGAATATTCTTCTATAATTGCAGTAATCCACCATATCTCCTTTTTTTGTAAATAAGGCAGAAAAATGATGTGTTCCAATTATTTTGCACGCCAATATTTTTTCTATCATGTTTTACATCATCTACTTTTATCTCCTATCTTCAATAGTTCTGATGTTATTTCATACACCTTCAGCTTTGATATTTTTGAGTATTTTAATGGTCATTTTCACTTCCTTTAAACTAGGTTCCTTATCTTCTGATTCTACTATCATATATCTAGTATTTATTTGGGGTTCATCAGAACTCTTATTTAGACGATAACAAATTATTATTTAAAATTCCTTTACTATTTCTGTCCTCTTCGTTATCAATGTTCTGTTTTTGTTTTTCATTATTGTTGTTTTTGGCTTATAGGTAAGCGCATTGGTTTTTCTGAAGAATTGTGTTTAATTTGTAATTCTTCTATTATTTTAATCTTACCATATTTTTTTTCTTTTTGACTATTTCTTTTAACTTCTCGCTGTTTCTGGCCTAGCAAGTTTCTTTTTTTGTTGCTATTATCTTTAATCACTTCCAATTTCACTTTTTTTCTGTCATCTATTACCTTTTGCATTTCTCATTAAACTATGTTTTTACTTTTTCTTTTGTTCTTTAACAAACTGATTTCTTAGCTATCAATTTTTCATTTTTATTTTTTTTTTTTAATGCTATTCCATCTACTTTGTCCTATTTTAGTTGTTTTATTATTTTAACCAGGTATCTTTTTCATGTTTGTTGTTTTGTGAGATTTTCTAAATTCAGTTTATTCGTGGTTAAAAATTTGTTTTTCCATTCTCTGAGTATCTTTACTCCACAATAACCTTAACATGTTAACTGCGGCATGGGTTGAATTGGGTAACCTCTCTTGTGAGGACCTTTTCTTACTTATATTACGAGAATCGTTTTTATATTATAAAAATAGCCAGAATTTAAAACTATGACAAATGTATTAATGATCTTAAAAAGATCCTTCCTATGCGGAGATGCAAGAACAAATGACATTTTATAGCCTGGTATTATTGGGATTGTTAAAAAAATAATGACGAGTTGTTGGCGACCCCTATAGAGAACAAATACGTTTTGTCGTCATCAGCTCTCAAAGTGTTAACCAAGAACTAATCTGAATGATAGCACACTTTTTGGTTACATCTTACATCTTGAATCCAGTGTTTTATTTGGTGTGTTAAATCTATCTTTTTTTGTTTTTTAGAGCATATTTGGTAATTTTCAAAAAATAATTATATATTTATATATTTTATTATAGGTTTTTAAGATATATAATAGTTATATCTATTCCTTTATATTTAATAATAGGATGTTTATACATTGAATTATATAAATAGATAATTTGGTTTATGTTTGATCGATTTCCAAAAAAATATCAACTATTGAGAAATAATAATAGGTATAATTTCTGGAAACATCTTATGATTATATTATGTTTTGTATAAAAACATACGATTTCATAATTAAGTAACAATAGATATTTTAACATAAAATTTGTTAGTTTAGTTATGTTTTGTATTTTAGGTGAACACTTCTAGACCAGAAGATAATTTGAACCTATATATTTCAAATATGGAGGAACAACCTGAGGTAATATTATTATTTTATAGTAACCTTAAATTGGGTGCATTTCAGTTGGACATTTTGTACACTTGAATCCATCCCGGGGTGTTCTACCTGGTACATATAAATGCTCACACTACAATCATGACGTCACCAGATCTGAGTTCTATTTCATCATTCCACTCTCACAAAGTAGGTGTAAACGTTCGACTAGCAAAGTAATTGTATGGATCTTTTTGCTAGTGGAACAGTTTATGAGCATGAATGTGAGTGTGAGTACTTTAAGCGCATAAGCATCCAACAGGAACTTATTGTATACCTTGAATCCCGGAATAACAATTTTCAATGGAAAAAATATGAAAAAAAAAAAACTTATCTAAAACATTTAAACATTTAAATATGTTTATATAAATATTTTAGATACTTGTAGTATTTAATATTTATTCAATTTTACAAAAAGTTTGGTGTTTTTAAACATATTTATTTGTAAACTGTTAAATAAAATCCTTGATAGGTATATAGTAATTAAGGTGTTTATGATTTTGCATGTTCTACAGTTTTTATTTATAAATACATATTTTGAGTTTTTGTTTTTATTGTTTAAGTGTATATTCACGATTTTCAATACACACCGCGAACAAATATTATCATTTTATATTTTCTTTACTGAATCTAATCTGAGTTTGATTATTTGTATTTTATATAGATTGTATATGATTTATCACTAATGTATTGTTGAAAATTTGATATTGCTAAACTGAATAAGTAGGAGGGGTTTTGAATAGTAGCATTAAGTAAAAAAAAAATCAAAGTTTGAATATTATCAATTCAAAAGAGAAAAATAATGTTAGTGCTTGTTTTCTAAAAATTATACCAATTATAAATTCAATGAGCATATAATAGGTTTGGTCTAGGTTAGATCTATTTTTTTTTAATATGCCATTTATTAATTTATTTATTTAGCTTTATTTTGATGTATAAATGCATACATATTTATAAATTTTTTAGTACATAAACATTTTAACCCTAATCTTCATATTCTCCTTTGCATTTATTCCAATTATTTGTGACCAGTTGCTCGTCTTAAACTTCCACTTGACCCAATTATTCTTGCATACACCTACCATCTTCATATCAATTTCATGCAACCACCTATTTTTCAGTCAATAGAAATAAAGATGGGATTAGTGTATTATGTTACGGATGGAGAGTATTTTGAAGGGGATAAAATTGATGTATACAATTTTCATTAAAGTTTGTGTATTTACTAAACTCTTTCGTAACTTCACCCATTACAATAGAAAATTAGTAAGAGTTAAAGGATGACTCCTGATGTACACCTTCTTTAACCCAAAATCCTCTGTCATAAGTCTTCTCTAAATCAATAAAGCCATAAATAGGTTTTTCTTCTTTACTTTTCTACATTCTATCTTACACAAAGTACAGGTTCCATTGTCATTCTCTCTGCTAAAAAACCAAACTGGGTTTTAGATATTCATGTGTCAAGTCATGATCGTAACTCTTATAATAATATTTATTATATAGGCATGTATATTCTTAAAAAAATATTTTATTTATACCTATAAATAGCTGCAGCTAGTATCCCTACAATTTCCTGGGAATAACTAAAATTAATATAACATTAATACTACCAGTAATTTTTTAAAATGTTTAATATTGACCAAATTTAATTTTGTGTAATAAATGTAATGTATGTTATAACTATTAATTATAATAATTGTGTTTTTTCCCAACATTCATATTATCAAGCTATATTGTTGAAAAATTACTGTGAAAATTATTATTGTTTAAACATTTTTTTTAAGAAATTTGTTCCTCGTGAATATCAACTTGAGCTTTTAGAAGAAGTAAAAAAAGAGAATACAATCTTATTTTTGCCAACTGGTAGTGGAAAAACGTATATAGCTACAATGCTCATTAAAGAAATGGGAGAATGTTTAAATAAGTTAGTAGATAAACATATTGTAAGAAATAATAAATTTAAAATATTGGTGTTTTTAATAATTTATAACTATTTGCAGGCCTATAGGCAAAGGAAGAAAATGGACATTTTATATTGTGCAATCTGTGCCATTGGTAAACCAACAAGCAAGCAGTCTAAGACGACATTTACCTTGGAATATAGGCACATTTAGTGGTGATATGAATGTTGATTTTTGGTCTCGAGATCAATGGAATAATATATTAGAAAAATGTCATGTAAGTATCTAGATAATATTTAATATCTTCTACCTTCTCACATCTGAAATGAGACAATTTGTCAATGTCTTGTTTAGAACTCCTCATACTCTATTTAATAAAATTCTACACTGTCATTAGACCTAATGCAACCCTATTTGTCACCTTTTACAACAGGTAGATGTACCTTGGAACTACCTTGATTTCCCTTAGGAAGAATTGTATTGTCAACTATAAATTGAATTCTTAATTCCTATAGAAACAGTATCGTGTTTTATACTGGTATAATTATTATGCATATAATATTTTAGAAAAACATTCTCTTTTTGAATGTGAGTTTGAATATCTAAGTTGCTATTTAAAAAACCGAAAAAATAATTATATTAAATTTACTTAAAATCTTTGTAGATAATCGCTGGTTTTCGGATTTATATATATTTGCATAATTTATCAGACTAAGATATTTAAAGTTTGATAAGAAATGTACATGACTTAAATCATTCTTTTTAAAATTGTTACTATCTTATTTTATAATTTTAATAACGGGAATTAGGTAATTTTGCTCTTGTGCACCATTATTTGAGTCAAGGTTATTGCCCGAAAATACAAACTAAGGCTATATAAAATACTGATAAGATTTATAGTTATGTATGCATGTGGAACTTAAGACTTCAGCAAAGTCTAACAAAAGAAGATTAATATTATTTGAAACCAAAATTGTGTGTTATATCTACGATCCTAAAAGAATACATACAGGAGAATACATATGAACGAAGAATAAATGCAGAACTGAATGTAACATTTCGTATGTTAGGCTTAGTAGGAATTTTCAAAAGCATAAGCTGGGTCTGACATTTCTCAGAAGAGTGGTGGGCCAAATATTACATGTAATCACAATAAGGAAATTAGACAAAAAAACAAAATACCATGACTGCAGTGGATTGAGGTTAAGAAAAACCTCAAGCTCAAGTGATGAAGAACAACTGGCTAATGACAGGGAAGCATGAAGAGGTGTGGTGGAAGCCACAATTGTCCTACAAGGTCTAGAATAAGCTAAACAAAAAAATATAGATACAAATATTTTTTGATACTTAACCGTTTCATCATTTTTATGTTATTAATCATATTGTAGCTGAAATTATACATATAAATCTTAATTTATATATTTGTGATATTTTAAACACTTGGAAAATGTCAAATTTTAGCATTTTCCCCGCATATTTTACAAATTATTATTACGTATATATTTTTTCTTTATTTCTTATTAGGAAGAAGGAATTACTATTTCATCTTCTTTTATTCGTTTTGCTGTTTATCAAGTAAAACTTTAAAAGGTTAACTTTTTTTGTATACAATAGTGGCTGTATCACGTACCTAACTTTTTATTTGATTTTTTTCAATCATAATTTTGACAGGAATATCTTATAAAAGAATATCTAGGACTTTTACAGATTCATGTATATTACTTGATACTTTGGTTCCCGTAGTAGATTGAACTTCTAAATTAAAGACTTATAATTTTATATGTGTTATTATTGTTAATAATCAAAACTTTTATTACTAATAATCATGAAATGAGATGCATGGAAACATTGCACTTATGTAGCTCGTCTTAACACCAGGTGTTCTAATTTATCATTATTGTTTACTAATGTAAATTGTATTACTGTATGCTTACCTTGCAGTTCACACTATGGTGGCCCTTAGCTTACTTTTGTAATTTTTTTGTCTTACAATTTGTGGCATCTTCTCATTTGTTTTTAATACTTCAATAAAAAATAACTGGACAATTTTAAAACAATATTTCATGTTGAGTCGTGTCCACGGGCAATTAAGATTGAGTAGTTTATTAATTTTAGAAAAAATCTAAACATTGTGCTTTATATTTTATTTTTATTTTTTGGTTTTAAGTTGACAAAGTCTTGCAATACCAATTAAATAGTAAATGTTCCAAGGATTTAAAAAATGTAATTTTCGGCATTTGCTCATTATTTTTATTAATATAGTTACAATTTTAAGTATCAAAATATGGCAAAATGGTATTTTTTTGATTTATTCATCATATCAGCTAAACTATATTACTTTTGTACTACTATTTCCCAAAGATTTATGAATAGTGACATCAATAAGTATATTTAATTATCGACCAAAAACCCATAATGGACCTTATCAATAACGATAATGTTAACACAATATTGTTTTCTGTATAAATATAGGTTATCAGTGATAATTACTAATATGTCATACATTAGTTTTATACTGTCATTATAGTCTATTTTGTTGTATTGTATGAAATATATAACTGAAATATATTGAAGTTTAATTATGTCGAAAATTGTATTATTCAAATTATAAAATTTTACATTTAATTAAAAATTAAGCAAATGAAATAACAAAGCAGTAAACTGCCGTCAAATTTACAAGTTTTAAAAAAAAAACTTTTTTAATATTAGAGTTGTTATATTAAAGCATGTAGGATAGTGCCTAGTTAGTGATTTGTAAAGTAATGATTTTTTGAATAAAAGCTCATATTCCTACTTCTATTGAAAAAAATTGTATAGAAAAAGTAATGAATTTATATGAGGAGTGGAGAGCTTTGCAAAATCATGCTTGATGAATGACAGTAAGCCACAATCAACATGAAGAGTAATTCTCAGTCTAATTTGATAATTTACTTAATGTAGCTCATAATAATTGTGATGCAATAACTGTGATACCCCACAGAGCAGGCTATTAAATTAGTTGATAAGAGGATTATAATACACAATTGAAAACCTATGAAGAGCAAAAACAATTTGTTTTGCAAGTTGTTTGTGATAATAAAAAAAGGTTTACTGATTGTAACAAAACAATATAAAAGCAATTCTTATAAACAAATACAAACTTTATAATTATTTGTATAAAAAAATAATAGAAAAAATTATATATATGTATTTATATATTTCATTCAATTTGTATTGAAAGAGTTTGTCAATTTAAAATGAAAATATTCTGTATTAAAATTTTATTTTTTTAGATTTTTTCTTAAGAAATGGCAGAACTATTACTCAACTTCAAGGGCCCAAAGACATGGCTTAAACTTGAAATATTGATTTCAAATTTTGCAATTATTATTTTTTAAGGTGTTAAAAGCAAATATATCGCAAACAATTTTAAACATCTTTTCTTAAGAACTACCCTAATGCACACATAATAATAAAATAAATAAATACAAATTTCTTTAAATTTTTAAAAAATCCTACTAAAAAGTAAACAAATTATTTTTTAAATTAAAACTGTGTAATTATGATAAACTTAATGAAAACCATAGCGCTTGCACTATGTGAGACATTTTGGTGAAAATAAACAAACGCTAACTAACTTATCTGACAGATACCAGAAATGTACTGGTTTTATAATGATGCTAATTTTTTTCCTATAAATAACTTTTCTACCAACAATTTTACCCAGATTTTCAAGTGTGGCACTTTTTCTGAAAGGAAATCTGATTGAGGTGGGTACTTTTGGTGGTAATTTTTTTATTTTTCCAGGAGTTTTCTTAATAATTGTGAAAAAATGGGAACATTTTAAAATGTATTATTTTCAAATTGTAAATATTAATCTTTCAAATCATGTATAACTGAACTCTACTCAGAATTGTGTTTTGCATTATCAATGATTAATATTTGAGTACAGGTTTACATTAAATTCCCCCTCTACCTTCCCAAATTCTCACCTATAACTGTAGCCTTTGAAATATTAATAAATCATATTTTATTAGAATCTTCAAAAGTTGTAAGTTAATGTTCAGAGTACATTCACCAAGGTGCTGTGGAGTAATTTTAGATTTAGAGCATAGCGAGGGTTTTATTGGTTTTACTATGATGCATTTTTTTAATTTTTTAAATCTGTTGAGACTTTTCTAACATTATTCTGTTGTATAGAGTGTTGTACTTTTTCTGAAGGAAATTTTGTCTAGTTTGTGTGTAGAAAGTGGTTGTTTGATTTTGTGTATAGCTTTTCTAATGCTTATGAAAAAAAACATTAGAAATATAAAGTGTAAGAAACACAAGAAATATTAAAAAGTGTAAGAATCATAAGAAATATGATAAGTATACAGCAATTTGGTTTTTTTTTTCGATTAAATATTGAAGAAACTTTACACAAAGTACTTGTATTGGCCTTTTGTAGGCATGGTAGAATTTTCAAAATAATTCTAACTATTTTTAGACTATAGGTATATAATATTTTCGTGTTTTCATATTATGTATTTTTATTTGATAGGTATTCAAATTATGACTTAGTAGAAATGCTTCAAATTGTATTACAAGGTACATTATAAGTTGTAATTATTGATCTACAAAAAAAAAATTGAGTTTAATGTATTAGTTTTTTGTTGTATTTGGGAATTTATTTTTTAAAATTCTTATTGACAGTTAGAAAAAACTAGTTCTTAAGGTTAAAACAGATTTAATGATTAAAAGTAATGTTGTTGGCAACCGTTTTATTTATTTTTGTTGTAATTAAGTTGCTTTTATTTTAATTTCATTTTTTTTTTTTTCAAAAAAATATCGTAAAATTATATATTGTTGAAAAATCAACCTGTGGTGCAAAGTATGTCCATCTTTTTTTTTTAAATGTCTAGTACAAAAGTTGTTAAAAGGCAGAAAAACAATATCTACTTATATTTCAACCAATACATTCTTCACTACACTCATACTTAAAGAAAAAAAATAAAATTACAGGAAAACACATGTTTAACTTTATTCCTGTATCCAACACCTTAATTATAAATATTAAACTTTACATATTAATATTATACATTGAATATATTGATGAAATGATTGCTGAGGTGAAGAATTCCGGAGCTAAACTATTCAGATCTCCGAGTGGGGACTGCTAATACAATTTCGTCAAAAGCTAGGTATAATACAATAGCGACATGGATTAAAAGATTGTTGGAAGTTTGTGGAAAACTCAATAATGTTGGAAATGGAATGACTTAAAATTGATGTTTTGGGTATGAGCGAAATAAGATGGACCAGGCAAGAAGAATATAGAATAATGTTTAATGGCAATGAACGTAAAATCACTGGGGTAGGCTTAAAATTGAATTAAAAGCTTGGTCATAAGATCAATACCATCATACAATATAATAATAGCTATTCAAATAGAATCAGAACTGTTAGCCACTTTTATAATTCAAGTATTTATGCCCGTGTCTAGCCATAATGATGAAGAGATATATATCATCTATGTAAGAAGAAGAAATGTATGAATAAATATCAAAAGAACCAGAAATTGCGAAAGGCAAAGATAATTTAATTATACTAGGGGACTTCTTGTAGAAGATAAATTGAAACGAGAAAAGAAAAAGCTTTTCACCACAAAAACGTTATGCAGTAATATTAGAAAAACATTGGTATGGAGCAGTCATTAACAATCCTAAAAGTTGATAGGAAAAAAATAGAATCTTTTGAAACTAGATGTTGGAGAAGGGCATTAAAAATCTCTTGGACCAAACGAATGTTAAATGAATAGGTGTATCAGGAAACACATAATGAAAGACCAATATGGACAACAGTTGGCGAGAAGAGAAAAATATTGATAGGACACCTAAGGAACAATACATGGATATTTTATAATTAAAGGAAAAACCAGGGAGAGGAAGGCTCAGAGTGTCTCATATACAAAGCAAATCATGTTGGAATTAGATAAGTGATCTTATGCAGAATTGAAAAAAGTTGCTATGGATAAGGAGAAGTGGAAGAGCTGATTTAGTTCAATATTTAGACACTTCCATATTAAAAGGTTTTGGAATAGACTGGAAATTTGATGGTTTATGTTTATCAAATTTCTATTTGAATTTTCTTTTAAAATTTTAAATAATCTATTTTATTCTTATTTAAAATTAATGGTAAATTTATTTATAATTTTCAGATTATGGTTATGACTGCTCAGATATATTTAAACAATCTACATCACGGCTACATGAACATTTATGATGCAAATTTAATTGTTGTCGATGAGTGTCATCATGCTGTAGCATTACATCCATTTAAACAAGTTGGTTAATTTTGGAAAGTTAATTTCAGAGAAATGTAGTTGTTATTAAATATTAAATAAATATTTCGGGTTGTATAAATGAATAACTGATAAATACTAATAAAAAAAATCTTATGCTGGAGACGGGTGTGCCACTGTTATAGGTGGAAACATAGGACACATAGGTTATTTAATTTATATCTTTAAGCAATACAAAATGATTCGGACCAAACTTAGGTTATACATGGTTTGAAAAGTCATAATATTTACGATTTTTTATCAAAAATTTACATTAAAACTAAATAACTTGTACAAAGAATAAATTACATTACATTAAACTTTTTTTAACCACTAAGTATAACTAGTAATAAATCTTCTATTAAACTTTTAATTTTCAAGTATTTCTGTTTGGTTGAACAATTTTATCTGCAAGGTACATACCAAATAAAACTGACGTAAAAACTCTCAAAATTAAAATGTCTATAAATAGCTCAAGTTTTTTAAAAATTTACCATGTTGAGCATAAGCAAATATAAATTTTTTGTTAGTAAGTTGTTTTTTAATTGATGCAATATTTTTGATAGAAAACTTAAAAATATAAAATAATGAAATTGTAAACCGCCGTAAATATTTGTAGTTTTCCGATCATTTTTTATTCAGTTCCCAATTTTGAAAACCTCTTGGAAATTCAAAAAATAGTCACCACAATGCACCAACTTGATTAAATTCCCTTTCAGAAAAAGTACTACACTTAATCTACTAGAGTAAGTATTCATTTTGAAAAGTTGTTGACAGACAGAAAAAATATATAAAAATAAATCACACATAGTAAAACTAAAATATCCTAAAACTACCGCATTACACTTACCTCTTTATTAGCCTCTAACTCTTATTAATTTTAAAATATTTTTATTTCATCAAATAATTTTATCCACATTAAACCTAATAAAAACTTTATACACTCAAAAGTATGTCCAATAGCTAAATCACCAGAATGTTTAAAATGATCCCACTAAAAAAGGCTGATATATGTATTTTGTGAAACATATCAGATTTTCACGTTTTATTTAACCTATTTAAAAAAAAAAAAATAATGAAACCTATATGGTAAATTTTCCTCTTTTTCTCAAGTTTTTTTGCAATTATAAAAAATATGAGGAAAACTTAAAAACAAAACCATCAAAGAAAATTTAAAATTATGAATTTGTTAACAAAACCGAAAAAAAAATAAGATATATATAGTAAGTAGTAGTATATATATATATATATAGTAAGAAGAGGTAAATTTATGATAATAATGCTTATATTATTTTCCAATTTGTTATTTGCTGTAATTCCGTTGTAAATATTCGTAGAGGAGACTTGAAATTTGGACAGAAAACTTTTATTTGCCTTTTCTAAACATGGTAAAATTTTTAAAATATTTTAGCCATTTTTGAGCTATTTATAGACATTTAAAATTTTTTTTAGTTAATACTCTGTGGATAAATTGTTAGACCAAACAGAAATTTTTAAAAATTTAACAGAAGGTTTATTACAAGTCGTACTTTGTGATAAAAATACAATTTATTGTATTGTAGAATTTTGATGAAAATCTTAAATATTACAGCCTTTTAAAACATGGGACTTCGTTAAAAATCATTTTTCTTTAGCAATGTTTAATTGTTGCCTACTGAAATAAATTATTTAAATTCCCCTCTATATCTTACCTTCTCAACTTTAGGAAGGTAGGATATAGTATATACACCTATGATAGTAGCTCACCCATCGTGCGAAGTATGTCCAGACTTTTTAAACTATATTTTGAAGAAAGTTTTCCTCTTTCTAACTAAACGAAAATATTCTAGATTGGATTACTGTACGAGGTATTAAAGTTTTTCCTGTAAAATATGATTTGAGCAACAAAACATAAGTTTAAGTGTATAAAATACAATTTTGCATTTTTAACTAAGTGGTGATTAATTATGGGTTTCAAATTTTTTCTAATTATTTAAAAGTCTAATTTATATTCTAGTTTAATACATTAATTATAAGGTTTTCAATTATCTACTGCCGATGCTCACTTAGGGGGAACATATTTTTTACGGACAAATATGACATTTTAAACTGAAAAGTCAGACAAAACTATAGGAAATGTTTTTTTAAATTTTTAAAACGTATTTTGTGTGATTTTTTACATTTTTACTTTTTAATTAGGTTATATGATGTGTTAAATATTAAAAAAATATAATATTTTTTTTATGATTTCGATTAAAATAATTACATTTTTATTTCCAACTGTATCCTAGTAAAGAATCAAAAGAATTATTTGTCAAACAATTCCTACAGTTTTGTCGAACACAGGACACACTGTATACATAGTTTCAATTGTGATTTCTTGTTGCTTAACTTGATCATGTATTAAGTATAATTTTCACACAAATTAAAACTGTGAGTTCTAAAAAAATATGTGTCAGATTAAAATTTTTAAAACAATTTATATATATTACAAATAGGCTATTTTGAAAAATAAAAAATTTAATTTTGATTTAAATACATAAACCCCCAAAAGAAAAATGAATAGGAAAAAAAATATGTATCCATTTATCCAGAAATCATTTTGAAAACATCCTGATTAATAATTATTATTTTGATTGTAACTTTATAATAATTTTCTTTTTTATAATTAATTGATCTGTTGTATTATTTTATTTTCTATTCAAAAAAAAAAAAAAAAACATTAGATAATGCAAGTAATTCATGATACTGATTTTCGAAAAAAGACGCGTCCTCATATACTTGGACTCACCGCTACTTTAATTAATTCAAATGCCAAAAATGTCAAAGAAGAATTAACTAAATTGCAACAAACTTTTAATGCTGTTATAAAGACAAGATATGAAAAAGATATCAAAGTGTAATAACTAAATAAAGAAATTAATTATAAGATATTAAATACATTAATAACAGTTTTTCAGCACGCCCAGAGGAGTTTATACATTTATATGATGAGTATATCATTGATAAAACAATGTTACCTGTTATTGATAAAATAAGATTAATTAATGATTATGTCAGAAAATTTCAATTGCCTATTAATAGTATACCAATTGTAGAACAAAAAAAGATTTTTTACTTGGACTATCAAAAACAACCTTCTAGGAATTTAGCAAATTATTTTCTTGACATAGAGGTAAGAAGTTCAAGTTAAACTTTTAAGAAACTAATTCTGAATATATTCTGTTATTTTAGATTATTTTTATGGAAAGTGGTGCATATGCTGCTTATTTAGCTACTTGGCATTATATTATAGAAGTTGAAAAAAAGAAAAAACTTTGTAAAGATACGGAGAAAAGTTTAATGTTACTTGTGGTAATGTCAGAATTAACTTTAATTAGAAAAGCATTTTATGATTTCATAAAACTCAATTCAATGAGTGAAAATTGTTCTTCAATTTTAATGAGTGAAAATTGTTCTTCAATTTTAATGAGCAATGCTTCACCGAAATTAAAACTATTAGTAGATATCTTAAAAAGTATACAACGCACAGATATTTGTTTAATATTTGTTGATCGTCGAACTTCAGCAAAAGTTCTATATCATTTCATCAAGGTATTTTATTGAAAGCTGTTTAACTTAATTATGGAGCTAATTATTAATTTTTTATAGAACTTAGTTCACGACAATTTTCTTAAAAATATTGAATGTGATTATGTAGTAGGAGCAAGAGGAATGTATAACCTAGATACTAAAGAAATGATGTATAAAAAACATCAAAATAATGATATTATTAAACGGTATTTCAAATATTTTGTATTAAATTTACTATACACAGTGAACAAAATTATATTTAAAACAAAATATTTCTTTTTAGATTTAATGAAAATACAATTAATGTGTTGATAACATCAGAGGTACTTGAGGAAGGTGTTGACATTCAAACTTGTAATTATGTCATACGGTATGATTCTCCTAAAAATTTCCCATCTTATGTACAATCCAAAGGCAGAGCAAGATGTAATGGAAGTAAATTTATTGTTATGGTGCCAAATCTGATAAAATTTAAAAAAACACACACTGAGTTTGCTAAAATGGAAGAAGACATAAATAAGGTATACTGCTAATTAATATATGTTTATAATTTATATGGATCATTTTATTTCTATTAGTAGTATCCACATGTTTAGTTTTATTTATTTACAATTTATGGATTAAGCTCTTTGAATATAAACAGTTAATGATTAAAAAATGTTTAGGGCCAGATAGGGCTAATTTATTTTTCTGGGAACTATATTCCAGAGTCTCTGAAAAATAATTAAAATTGTTTTTATTTATATATATAATAAAATAAGTACTAATTAACATACAAAATAAAAAACCAATTAAGCAATAGTAAATAATTTATTATAATATACTATTATGCTGAAACAATACAGTCTTCTAATGTACCAACATTTGTCGGTATCATGAAAACATGTTTTGTTTTCTATACTTATTTATTTGTTTTGTACTAGAAAAAAATTATTATGCACTAAATACATAAAACATTTATAAAGTAGCTGTATCAACCATTATTTTATTTATCTGAAACTATTCATCATTATTGTTATAATTGTATTGATCAATTATACAATTTCTTATTAATTTTGGCCATTTGTAAATAGTTATTATTTGTTTATTAGGGTTGACAAAACATTTAATTTTGTTGATGTGGGCACATATTAATATTTTATTTGTGTAATTGTAATAATACTATAGAATATTATTAAAAAAAAAAAATCCATTTCGCCAACATCAATTTTAGTGGAATAGCATTATTTTTTTTTTTAGACATTTCAGTTGAATATGACTTTCATTTTTGAAGGGTTATGAAGAAAAACAATAATAGTCAATGTACCTAAAATGTTCAGTATTATGGAGTTTTAAAGTTCTAGAACTATATTAAAACCTTGTAAAACCGTTTATTTAAATCTTTGTTATATCACTGACCTTTAAGCCCCAACTCGATTTATATATCAATTCGGTCAGAAAAAATATTGAAATGATAGTATTTTAATATTATCCTATTTTTTATTTTATTCTTTTGACTATTAGTTCATAATCAAAAGAGTGAACTAAGTTCATAATTTTTTCATTTTTTCTGAATAAACTTTGCACTTTTTTTCAATTTTTTCAGTTTTCTCATCAAATTTAAAAAAAACCGAATAAAAACAGGAAAATATAAGAAATGTAGATAATATTAAAATATATTACTGCCGTTTTTTTGTCTGTGAACTTTTCTAAAAGGGAATTTCACTAGGGAGATACTTTAGAGAGGCCATTTTTTAATTTTCCCTAGAATTTTTCTAGTAAATATGTAAAACCAGGATAAAACATGGGAAAAATGGTATAACATTAAACAAATTTTATTTTGAGAATATATAAACCCTATTTTATTATTTTTAAGATTCTGAGTGTAGCGAATAATTGATTGGTTTTAATAATATTTTTATTTTATTTTTTTATATATACATAAAAATTATGTATGTAATCATATATTATAATTATATTAAAATATATGTGCATACAAATTTGACCATAAATCTTAATCAGATATATAGTTGCACCATTGTTAAAAGTGAATGTTGTCCAGATGGTACTTTTAGGAGGTTATTTTTTGATTTTCCAAGCGGTTTTCATAAAAAATCTGGAAGAAACCAGGATAAAATATAATTAAAAAGGTTTATTAAGAGGTTTATTAAGAGTCTTACTTTGTGGTGAAAAAAAAAAGAAATTGAGTTTAATGAAGTATTTTTTTTTACAAGGGAATTTTAATCTCAAATTTTGGCAAAAAGATTTGTGTGGAACAAATCTAATTTTTAAATTTTTTTTTTTTATGAACATATGTGTATTGCTGATTTAAAAATGATGGTGAAGTCAGGTAATTAAGTGGACTAATTATGCGGTTATTATATGTTATGTTAAATAACGCTACTAAACCAAAGTGTTGAAAAAAATTGTTTGTATTTTTTTTCTCTTTTACCTAAACTAAAAAGAAACACATACGTTTTGGATGTACCTAGAAACTCACGATTCTCATAATAAAGGTAATTTAAGATCTGCACAGAGGGTCACCCAATTCAACCCATGCTACATAACTGTTTGGAGTTCATTTTTTGCTGTTCAAACAATATGTTTACTTCCTTACCCTCATTATCCATCGTTTGCCCTGACTCCTACCACTCTCCTTTATCTATTATCTTTCCTTTTACTACTATGGCAAAAAACATTTCATCTTGTGCCTACCATGACTTTAGAGTTAAGAACTATACTTCTGTTTCACAATTCTGTCTGAATTTTAATTGGATAGCCTTAGCTGCTTTTGCATGCTATAACATCGAGAACACTGCTTCTGTCTTTAACGACACTATAATGCCATCAATATATTTGTCTGTAAAAAAATCTTACGTTACACTCCAAATTCCCTTACAGGGTCTCCCCAATCTAAAAAAACCTAATGTTCCTTGAAAAGCGCGCCCATATAAATTTTAAACAGTTAAAGCTAGCTTTTCACTATTCTACCTTTTTTGAGCTGAGAGCTAAATGCAAGCATCAATCAAAATTGGACTACCATGTGTGTATTAAAAAAACCAACTCATTTTTTCATCCTTTCTTACTAACTTCTGGAAGTATCTTAGGAACCTCCAGCAAAAGCCACTTTTTCTCTCTATGATTCACCTAGATGACATTTCTTCTACTACCGATATAGCCAAACTTTTAATGTTTATTTTGCCTCGGTTTATAACGAGGAATTACCATCTTCAATGCCTGATGCTCTACATCATAGTCTAGCCTTATATGACATTCCATCTAACGTTTATTTCTTCCCCTGTAACATTATTCATGAACTTTCCTAACTGAAAAATAATAATTCTTCAGAATCTGATAGTATTTCTGCAACCTTTCTCTATAATTGTCGCTTCTCACTAATGTTTCTCACTTTTCTTTTGTTTTGACGCACCATGTATGGCTTGGGACATTTTCCCAAGTGATTGGAAAATTGGCTCTGTGTCTCCTATTCTAAAATCTGGTGACTCATTCAATGTTGCTAATTATAGACCAATTGCCATCCTTTCTCACTTATCCAAGATTTTTGAACTTAAAGCCCTTACTTTAAGTCCAATATAAAGAGGAGTTTTAATCATGTAATCATTGACCAGCAGCACTTTCGACCCGCTGAATCTATACTGTTATGAGTAGTGTTATATTCTCATCTTACATATTACATCTAATTTTGAAAAAATACCAAAGCTCTAGAACAAAAAAAATTAAAAATTAAACAGTAAGTTGGGTATTGGGTAAACCTTAAAAAACAATATTTTATTACACTGGGTCTTGAGTATTGACCAAGTAATAATTTACATACATAACGGTAATATAACTCTATGGTCAGATACCTGAAACCTCTCAAATAATGTATTTTTCTAATGTATATATTTTTTTCTTTTTTTTAGACATTAACACTAAATGAAATTGATGAGGAAAATATTGAAGAAAATGTAGAAGAAATTTTTAAAACTAAATTTGCATCATTAACCCATGACACAGCCATAAGTATTATTAATAGGTACCTATTTATTAAATAAAACTAATACATATGTAAACATTTACGTTTCATTTAAATATTTACGACCTAACAAAAGTTGGTTACAATGGAATTTGTGTGGTAGCTAGGAGACATTAAAATATAATAATTTCAAATTGATAAGATTATACCCGTATTTTCTCTAGTGACTTAAGACATTTTTGCTTAGGAGGGCAAGAGGTATAGCCAGACTTACATCTTGTACTATAAAACATGCAGATGACATACACCAATTACACCTTAAAAACTTACAATTCCATATAATCATAGAGTTAATAATAATTTCTCAATTGGAGTAATAGCATTAGTTCTGCAAAAATAAAATGTTTTATTTACACAATATCCATGTTTTGACATATTACAACACACAATTTATATTGATAATTGACTTACTCAACAAGTTCTTTGTCGTCATCAAACCTAACCTTTGGTACCTTCTGTTCATAATAATAACTAATAGTTCATATATTTTAATATATTGAATATTGACATTTGATAACAGTCATTATTATCAACATTTTTAATGGCGACTGGAAGTTATGGTACTTTAGGGAAATCATTTTTTGATTTTTCTCATATAATTGAAAAACCGAAAGAAAAAAAACAGGGACAAAATAAGTAATGTAGGTATTAGTTAAAATAAATTATGGACTTTTTTCCTGTGAAGATTCTTTAGAGAGGCCATTTTTCGATTTTTCCAAGTTTTCCCAGTAAATGTGAAAAACCGAGAAAACGGTATAACTTTAAACAAATATTATTAAAGAAAATGTTTAAAGCCCATTTAATTATTTTACTATAATATGACATGTACAAGTTTTTTTATGTTTTAAAAATCAAACCATTAAGGTGGCCTTTGTTTTGATCAATGCATTGAGATAGTCGAGTTTTGAAGTTTCTCTCCACCCTTACCAGTATATTGACAAGTACGTTGTCGATAGCAGCTTGAATATTGTTCTTCAGTTAAACTAGGGTCTTTGAACATTCGGTGTAAAATAAAGATTTCAGATAGCCCCATAATTATCTTTAAAGGACACAAAGGCGCCAAGAGACATATTGTCAAGAACGGCCTTGCATCCATTTTCCTGTGTAAAAAATTGTGTGGATTAGTTTTTGCACTACCAAATTTATAGGAACAAAATTGTAGTTCTTGGTAAAAAATTTGTCTTACAGAATGAACAATCATCTTAAGACGAGCTACATGTTTACGTGCAGATCTCAAAATTGACTCCCTAACCTGCTTGATTTTTTTGGGTGTCCTGATGATTTTTGAACCGCTTGAAAAAAAAACTTTTTTAAGTTTTTTTTTCTGTACATTACCAGTTTCTCTTAAAGTATCCACTCATAAAATAATTGATTTCTGATCAGGAAAACGACCTACGGGGATGATATTAAAGTTATTTTTGAATGCATGTATGGCGATGGTTTGAACAGATGCCTGAAAAGTACAACTCCATAGCGAATGCACCCTCCTCTCGTCCACTGTATGTTCGTTACTTAACTTACATAATATAAAATGTAAGATACCGCTCTTTCGAATAAGTACCACCCTACCCTTCTCAAAATAAATGCTACTATATGGTGCGAGTTTCAAATAAAGAAGTTTCCCTACCACACCCTGTATATATTGTCATTAAGTTATACATGTATAGAATTAGAGTTAGGCATAAATTCCTAAAATTAAAGTCGGTCCATCAAGAAATTTAATATTACCTACTTAATTGTTAATTCTAATTATGAACGTTTATTTATGTTTTCTAGGTATTGTTTTTCTTTGCCACAAGATCGTTTCACTAATTTAACTCCAGAATGGTATATCTCTGAAAATAATAATAATATTGATTTCAAAAAATACAAACTCAAACTACCAATTAATAGTGCCATTAAAACTCCTATTGATGTAATAACAGCATATATTTATTTTATTTTATTTTTTGAATATTAAGAGAATGTTACATCCTACATTGACTGTCTCAGTCTAACAGAGTAAAATTATGTTATATAGTCCGCATCAATTTCAAGAACTGCGATCCTTGTTTTCTGCTTCAGCGTTCTTACCTATGGTTATTCTTACTTATGCCTGATTGCAGTGCTGGCACTATCAATTGTTAGAACATCTTGTCCACTTCCACTATGAGGTATTCAGTATTGGTTTTACTAATGTTAAGTCCTCAGCATTCTTAATGGATTTGCAAATTACAAGTTTCTTACCTTAATCGTCCAGCTAAAGTTTCATGGGTATAAAACTCACCACAGCTTGAATATTATCCAACAAATTTAGTACTCTGCTATTAGTTTCTAAAATTCTACTGTGCAGATAGAGACGAGCCTAGTCCTACGTAAATGCTATCCATGGCTGTCATTACTTTGTCAAGGACACTTCACCTATTAATCAGACTGAGACAGTGAATATTGATGTTATGTATTCTAAATCACTATAACTGATATTTGTTATATATTTTATTATTATTATTATTATTTATAAATGGTTTATCCTAATTTGGTTTTTTGTGAAGGGAGCATTTTGTAAAAATAAAAAAAATGCTAAAAAAAGTGCAGCATTTAATGCATGTGTTGAATTGTATAAATGTGGAGCATTAGATGATCGGTTGTTACCTATACAAGTTAAAAATAAACCTATATTTAAAGATGTAAATTGGTTTCCACATTGGGATGAAAAAGATATTGAAGCGGCCTCATATAATTTAAAACCAGGAACTAATAAAATGAAAAGAATGGTTAATATTAAAGTAAGTTACTACACTCTCTTATTGTCTATGTAGTATAACAATTAAAAACCAATTCTAACCTAGAGTACATCATACTTGTATGGAACATATCCACAAAAAAACCAGACATCATATTTACATGTAATCCATTGCACTCCTACATATGACCATTTGAGTGATATAAAATATGAAACATTTGATAAACTATTAAGATCAAATAAAGAATTTGGAATTTTAACATCGGCAAAATTACCACATGTAAGTTAAAAGTTTTTTAATAAATAATTTATGCTAATGTAATCAATTAATAATTTTATAAACATTATAACCTACAATCTCCTACTAAAATCTAGTTTGGGATTAGAGTTTAATGGTAAAATATATGTACCTAATATATTATAGTTTAAGTGATCAATACCTTTTATTTTACAGGTATCAAACTTTCCTATTTTTTTAAACTTTGGTGATGTTAATATTCAAATAAAGGTAAATGTTGATGAAATATTTCTTGACAGTGAAGATCGAGAAAAAATAGAACATTTCCATAATAAATTGTTTGTGGATGTACTGGGTGTGAAAGATTTTATTTGTAGATGTTACAGTAATGAGGATAATGCATACTTAATTGTGCCTATTTATTCTAACGGTTTGATATATTTTTTATGTTTGTACATATGTGTTCTGTTTTTTTATATTTAAATTATTTAAGGTGGCACATTTAATTTGGATTGGAGTGTCATGAATATTCATGAATTTGTTGAACTAGAATTTCCTACAATCGAACAAAGAGAATCTAAATTTTATGAAGAATATCTAAAAACACCTCATGTTATTTCACCATGGTACAGAAATATTGAACCAATTCAAGTAATAATACAAATTAGTTTAATACATTAAAAACAAATTCATTACGGTTGGTTTATTTTAATTGAATTGATTGTTAATTTTTAAATTTCAATAGTCACATTACTTATTAATGTTTTTGGTGCAATAATTGTTTATAAAATAAATTTGCCGTATGAAAATATTAAATGATTATTTTAGGGGGGAAAAATTTATGTGTACAAATAACACATCATTAAAAACAACCAAATTCTATGGGTAATAGATCACTGAGTTTCCTATACACGTTAAACTCAATATAACGGTTTTTTTTTTCGTTAGAGATACGTTGTCACTGATGTTCATTATGATATGACACCTGAAAGTGCTTTCCCAACTAATGAGTTTGATACATATGAATCATACTTCCTTGATAAATATAGCATCAATGTGATGAATAAAACACAGCCGATGATAAAAGTAAAATCATTGAGAGTGTCAAAAATAAATTATTTAACTCCTAAGTAATTATATTATATTATTTAATTTAAAGCATATAATTTATTTTCAAAACTTATTTTATAGAATTTCCACTGGTAAAATTGATAAACGTAATGAATACATTGAGATACTTGTACCAGAATTTTGTATTTGGCATAAGTTTCCATCAGATTATTGGTTAAAAGCATTAATGTTACCAACTATATTATTTCGATTAAATTCATTATTACTTGCAGAAAATCTTCTAGTAAAAATAAATACTATGTGCAATATTATTGTAGAAAAAAATGATCAAGGTAAATCAAATTTATTATGCTCTTTTATTTGTTTATTATATGAAATAAATCCATTTACAATAGTTATATATATAGTGTTGCAGTATTATAAAAGATATGATATAATACATGTGTTTAAATTTTTGTTTCATTTTTAGAGGATAGGTTAGAGATGGATAATTTTTGTGGATTCAATGAGGTGAAAAAAAAAGCTATAATTTTACCAATTGGTGAAACATTAAAATCTTTAAACAATTCATATGATAATATTGGTACTACTTGGAACTCAAAAAATATGCCCATTGATATAGATAGACAAATAAATACTACAATGCTTGATGTTTTAAATTACCATACATTTATGTATGATTCAACAATATTCAAATCTAGGGAAAATATAGTGAGTAAAATTATAAAATTGTATGCTATTTTAGTTATGTTATATAGTAGAATGTAAAATTATTAGAATCATACAAATGTATTAAAAAATAAAAATAAAATGTATAGTCTATCCCACTAGAGATCAGGCCACTTCTGTGTATGTATAATGTTAAAACTGACTTAAGAGTGTCAACCGATGACAAGGTTGTGGTTTGAGGATGTACAGCAGAGAGCAACCTTATCTCTCGTGGGACATGCTCCGTAATTTTATTAATAATATTTATTATTAATTATCTAAATTTTGAACTGAAATCTGGCGAATAATTTGTAAACCGAACAAAGTTTTCTTTTTTGAATTGTAGGTATTTTATTATCCATTTTTAATAAAAGTAACACTGTATCTGACAAGCATTTTAAAAAATGTCAACATGTCAACAAATATTAATACATAATAAATTTAAAGTATAAAATATAATTTATTTATAACCCATATAAATACATTATGTATATAATACTATCAAATCATTTATCTATGAATAAAGGTTATTTCCTGTATCACAAGAAAATGGGGGAGAGAGTTATGTTGCAACAAGATGTTTATCTAGAAATGCGTTCAATACGTAATATGAAACAATTACTTAAATTACAAATTAAATTTACGCATTAAATGCTCTATTATAAAGAATCTATGTATAAAGTTTTATGCAATAAACGCAATAAAATGTCAAGAACTTAATACATTAATATTATATTGAAAACATTAAATTGAGTTATTATGGTATAATTTATCTTTTTAACATAAAAAATTCCCAAATTTTCAAACACAAGTCTAATCCAAATTATTTAATTAATAAAACAATTTACTTTTTAAATTGTAACGTGTGTAGGCATTGTTTCAAATAAATGAGATAATATTATTCAATAACTTGTCTTACTTTGATAGTGCCAATATGTTTGTTTTAATTCAAAAAACACCTTTCATTTTAAGGGATGACATAAATTTTTTTAACAATAAATTTGTATAAATGGATAAAAAAAAAAAAATTGCGTCCTACTCGTGAGATAATATTATAATTTGTGATCCAACATCATGTTACTGTTAAAGTATACTTCTTAAGGTGTTTTAATTTTATTTTTTTATTTTTTTTCCAGAAGAAAAAACTATCCAATGCATCTACTAATTTAGTGGTTCGTATTATATAAATTACTATTTTTAAGATAAAATATTTTTTGATTCCTAGACAACATATTTTAATTAACATTAAATATGTGATTTTTTATTTTTGGGTAAATACTTTTTAGTGAATGTTGCATGAAAAATTGTATATAATAATTGTTGATTATGTTATGATTATATTGTGTTCATCACCGGCTGATTTAAAATTAGAGAAAGTATATAATACAAAAATTGTTTGATTTATAAATATCTAAAATTTGTACATTTTTTTTTTTAATCTTAAAGGATTTTGATGGCTTAATTTTTGAAATTAAAATGAGAACTTGTACTTATTTGCAAACATAATGTAAAAATATTTTTTTTAATACATTTTAGTGATTGAATAAAATTTCAAACTATGCTTGAGAGAGATTTTTTTCAATTTTTAGAAATTGCATTAGAATAGCACGCCTATAAATAGTTAATAATGTCACTCATCATACCATGCACCATGCTATTTCCATGAACCAACTATAACTGTATTAGTATTAGTACTAAATTCACTCTCAATCATAGATTTTTTAATAAATTATCACTTATAAATGTATTAAAAAATTATCATCACATTATTTTTGCAAAACAAGTAAAGATTCCCTTATAAATTTTAAAAGACCCCTCCCCAAAAATCCCTACTAAGACTCAAAAAAAAAAAAAGTACAAATCATTTTAAATGAAAACAACTTTTTGACTCATTCAATTTTCACCATTTTGAATATTTTTATATGATAAAAACGGGTGTAACAAAAATTTTGAATCGCACTTTATGTACAGAATGACCTATATTCCTATCTAAATGCTAATAACTTTATGAACTAATCTGGATCTAAAAACTAACTGGAACAGGGTTTTTGATATTTCTGAAAAGAACTGTTAATATTAGTTAATTTAGTTCATGGACAAGGAAAAAACCCTTTTTAAAAATAAATTATTAGGTACCAATATTTATTGGGTTGGGAAATGGGATAAACTCCCTCCCCCTGTTTAATACTGAGTATCATTAGTTATACGGTATAAATAGTAATAATAATATAGCATATGTTATTTTTATTTTATGTATGTTATATTGGACTTTGCATGGTTTAGTACTCAAAATTAAAGTTATTTTCATATGTTTCCCAGATAAATTTACCGAATAATATTGGTTTCAAAAAAAACCTCAATATCCTCTGATATTCTAAATATTGGGTGATATACCCATGCTGATACACACCACTACTAAAAAAATTGTATATATTTTTATTATTAACTATATAATTTTTTTTGTAAACCTCAATTTCTCAATAATTTTGTTTTTACACTGACAAAATATAATCTCAATTGAAATATTTACAATAATCAGTTTTATTTTAGATTTCGAGTAAAGCGAAAAAATTATATGTTTTACTATAATATGTATTTATGTTTTTTAGTGCTTGTGAGCATCTTTTATTTCAGAAATTTTTTTCCAATCAAACAATAATAGAAACCTCATTTGGTGGTTGCATTTTGGATGTAGTTGGTGCATTAATGAGGTTATTTTTTAATTTTTCAAAAAATGTTCATAATAATTGGAATAAATGCCATATTGGAAAACTGGGAAACTACTGTAATAAAATTAATAACTTCCCAATAAATATTTTAAGATCAAATTTTGATGAAAATGATAAATTATGGCGTTTCAGAACTTGAGCTCAGAATCGTTTTTTGTTTGCAATGGTTTATCGTTACATATAAATATAAATTAAATAGTTTAATGTATCCAACTATTAAACCATGAAAGTATCTCTGTCATCTCCAATATTGACTTTTTTCAATTTTATCAATTTAATTTGATGATTATTCATGGAAATATTTAATGAAGCGTTGTTATACCACTAATTTTATTTTCCTTTTTTGTACAATTAATTGACTAGGTACATAATAATTTTTTTTGTTGTCATCCTTTGTTTTCAAATATGTAGGTATTACTTGTTAATTACTTTTAAGTATTTGTTTTATTACAGTCAAAAATGAATTCAAAGAATGTAAGAGAAGATCAAGATTCAAATAAAAATAATTCAGATTATGAACCGGTATATATATATATATATGAGATACTCTCTGAGATAATGAGTGATAAATCACTTAAATGGATCACCTGGTACACATTTTTTGTGGGTAATAAAGATTGATATAAACATGTAGTACATTATTCAATCATTATTGTTGATACTTTGGGTTACACAGTTGCAATTTTGGTAGGAATTTCTAATTTTCTTAAAAATAAAATATAGCCTATATTTCTTGCCGATAATGTAGTTAATACAGGTGTAAGTAGGTGCATAAGTTCTAAAACCGGTCAAGTAGTTTATGAGCTTATCCATTACAAACAAACATACAAAAATTATTTTCTCTTTATAATATTAGTTTATATACAGTGTGTCACATTTTAAATATACCACTAAATATCTCAGCCCAATAATCTTAGATTGAAATACTGCAATGCTGCAATGCTGCAATAGCTAAGGGGTACTGAAGTACACATTTAAGGACAAATTTCAAATTTTTAACTCTTGCGCATGCGCAATACAAATTTTTTTTTTTAAATTGCAACACCTATTTTTGTTACCGGATATGGATAGATTATTTTATTCTAAGTAATTTTGATTCATTGACCATAGTTCTAAACCTAAAATTGAATGAGTTACAGCTTTTTGAAATTTTAAAATAATTAAATTTTTTCGATTTTACCAAAAACATTACACGCTTGAATTTGATACAAAAGTAAATTATTTTTAAACTAAAATGAAATGCATTTAAATAATTTAATACAAAATTACCTAAAAAATATTTATAGCTAATTTAAATTTAATTAATTTAAAAATAAATTTACCAACTAAATTGACAATGACGTAATTTGTGTTATTATTGTGCGATAAAAGTTATTGAATTATTTCCAGTTTTATTATTAGTACTTTGATAATAGTAGATTATTTTTATAACATTCAATTAAATCCTCACTCATCTTTAAGACATGTTGCTAGAGAATTTGGCTTTTCAAAAACAAAGGTACACAAAATATTCAAAAAATACAAGTTACATCCTTATAGGGCTGATCTAGTTCAGCAAAAATAAAATTTGTATTGCGCATGCGCATACAACAAGAGTTAAAAATTTGAAATTTGTCCTTAAATGAGTACTTCAGTACCCCTTAGCTATTGCAGCAAACCGTATTTCAATCTAAGATTATTGGGCTGAGATATTTAGTGGTATATTTAAAATGTGACACACTGTATATAAACTAATATTATAAAGAGAAAATAATTTTTGTATGTTTGTTTGTAATGGATAAGCTCATAAACTACTTGACCGGTTTTAGAACTTATGCACCTACTTACACCTGTATTAACTACATTATCGGCAAGAAATATAGGCTATATCGTATAACTTCGTATAATNTGAATAACGTCTTCCATTAAGAGTACCATCATAAAAATGTGGACCTATTAAATTTCCTCCTAATAATCAGCACCACACATTTGTGCCCCATACTGTTTGATAATTTGTATCAACTGCCCAATGTGGATTTCCGTTTGACCAATAACGGTTATTCTGCTTATTTAAAACACCATTATTGGTAAACTTTGATTCATCGGTCCACAAAATGTAATTTAAAAATAATGGGTCGTTATTTGTACATGTTGTTATCCATGCAATAAATTTTAATCTACGTTCGTTATCACCTTGGCCAAAATGCTGAACTAGATCAGCCCTATATGGATGTAACTTGTATTTTTTGAATATTTTGTGTACCTTTGTTTTTGAAAAGCCAAATTCTCTAGCAACATGTCTTAAAGATGAGTGAGGATTTAATTGAATGTTATAAAAATAATCTACTATTATCAAAGTACTAATAATAAAACTGGAAATAATTCAATAACTTTTATCGCACAATAATAACACAAATTACGTCATTGTCAATTTAGTTGGTAAATTTATTTTTAAATTAATTAAATTTAAATTAGCTATAAATATTTTTTAGGTAATTTTGTATTAAATTATTTAAATGCATTTCATTTTAGTTTAAAAATAATTTACTTTTGTATCAAATTCAAGCGTGTAATGTTTTTGGTAAAATCGAAAAAATTTAATTATTTTAAAATTTCAAAAAGCTGTAACTCATTCAATTTTAGGTTTAGAACTATGGTCAATGAATCAAAATTACTTAGAATAAAATAATCTATCCATATCCGGTAACAAAAATAGGTGTTGCAATTTAAAAAAAAAAATTTGTATTGCGCATGCGCATACTACAAGAGTTAAAAATTTGAAATTTGTCCTTAAATGTGTACTTCAGTACCCCTTAGCTATTGCAGCAAACCGTATTTCAATCTAAGATTATTGGGCTGAGATATTTAGTGGTATATTTAAAATGTGACACACTGTATATAAACTAATATTATAAAGAGAAAATAATTTTTGTATGTTTGTTTGTAATGGATAAGCTCATAAACTACTTGACCGGTTTTAGAACTTATGCACCTACTTACACCTGTATTAACTACATTATCGGCAAGAAATATAGGCTATATTTATTTTTAAGAAAATTAGAAATTCCTACCAAAATTGCAACTGTGTAACCCAAAGTATCAACAATAATGATTGAATAATGTACTACATGTTTATATCAATCTTTATTACCCACAAAATTGTGTACCAGGTGATCCATTTAAGTGATTTATCACTCATTATCTCTGAGAGTACTACCTTTTTTTGGAATTTGTTTTCTAGACTATTTAAGAAACAAGCAGTTTTAAAATTTTATGTCATTTTTGTCATCCTTATTTTTGAGTATAAAACCATTACCTACTTTTAATTTTCAAATGACAACCTATAGTAAAAATTCTATTTATAGATATAATATTAGATTAAATAAATTTTAGTATTGAAATATTTAATTCCCTCAATCCGTTGACAAGATATTCCACTTTGAAGTTTTGGTTGGAGAAGAGTAGTGGAGTATCATTTCTTTGGGGGTAAATTAGCATGTTAAAAATACACCATTGCTCTCTTCCAATCCAAACTTAAAAGTAGAATATATCGTCAACGGATTAACAGAAATCAAACATTTCAATACTAACATTTATAATACTCCATCTATTAATAGAATTTTGAATATAGGTTGCCATTTGAAAATCAAAAGTAGGTAGTACCTTTAAAAATAAGGGTGACAAAAAATAACATAAACATAATTAATATTTTTCCCCTTTTTTGTTTTTATTTTGTTCAATAAAGAAAAAGGCTATTTCACACAAATATGATGTTGAAAATGATAATAATAACACAAAAAAAAGTTAATTTTAATGTAATTTTTTTGTGTACCAAAATTAAAATTCACCTAGCTTGAGCCCATTAAACTTTATTTGATCATTTTTTTTTATTCTGCAAATTCTTCTTTCTCTATTAATGGAAGGTGTGAGGATTCAAAACTAGAATTAAATGGATTCTTCACCTAATCAAACAATTTCAAATCCATAAAACATATAGACACAAAACAATATCAATAAATAAACGATGGCCACGTATTAAACAATGATTATCAACAAGTTACATACTTTCATTATGATTTGGTTACGATAAAAATGATTTTGATAACAGATAATTTATTTTAATTACCATAGAAATTATTTTAAATACCTATTTAATAAGAATTAGTGGGTCAGCTAGTATATATGTATAACTATACTAATATATTGTATACCTGATTTATACTTTATTATAATAGTTATTATAATTAGTTAAAGTTTTGCATGAATTTTAATATTTTCTTTGAATACATAATAATATTAAAAACTATCTAAATAGTGAATGTCGCATATTAATCCCTAACTTTTTCTTTTTCTTGAATTTTCATTATTTATTTTAACAGTTCTAATTTTTTATAATTATCTTTGCAATTAGTCCAATTATTTATCAGTAGCATTTATCTGAATATTGAATATTGGTAAAAAGTGTTATCTGTTTATCCCTAAAAATTATATGTACATTTATTCATTTGTAATATATTTAAAATTGTATTATTATTATGTGGATATTTAAACTTGTGTACTGTTATTTTAATTATATTTTAGAAGTGCAAAAAATATAGATATTCATCATATGATAAAGAGTATTTAGAGGAAATCAATAAATCAAATAAATCAGAACTAGCACCAAATGTTCTACAAAAATTAGTTAATTTTGGCATATTTAAAAATAACTTTCCTTGTGTAAGCATAAAATTATGTATGTTTTATCATTGAATATAAATAATGTTTTTGTAATTATAATATCAATATATATTAACTATGGGTATTCAAAATAATAATTATTCTTTCTGTATTTTTGTGAAGTTGGTCATTCTTATATTCTGTCTAACTACCTATAAATACTTTATTTTAATTAATATTCAGATTTCTCCTATTTTTTATTTGAGTATAAAGGCTAGGAACTTCTAGCATTTGCCTATTATTTTTGAAAAATTAGAAAAATACTAGAGACTAATGTAAATACTTTTCATTGTACAAAGAATCTAAATCCTAAATTATTTTAGCAGTATGTACTTTTTAAGTGCTATAATAAAATAGTTAATTTAGTATAATTAACATTGAGTTTGATCGAAAACAGGTTTTTACATTTAATATTAATAATAATAATAAAAATATATTCATAAATGAGTTATATGTCAAGTTTTTTGTATACAATTTCAATTATAAACAAACAAACATTTATTGCATGTTTTTTAGTGCTAGAAGTCCTTACTCCTATTGATTTAAGTAATTTATTTTAGTATGTATAGTTTGCTTTTGTATTTAGGATTATTAGAGTAAAATTGGTGTATATTAAATAACCAAACATTATTTTTATAGTAGTCTGGTTGAGTGTGTAATATTTTTGCACATTGACAATAGTAGTTTTATTAAAAGTTCCTCCAATTTTTAGACTCTAGAAGTGAGGAATGTATTGGTTTAACAATGATTTTTTTTTTTTTTTATATTGTACAAAATATTTACCAAAAATCTTAACCTGGTGTATTAAGTGTAATACCTTTTCTAAAAGTAAATTTTTATTTAACCAGTACTTTAGATCATATTTTGATTATCCAATTAGTTTTCATCCTAATTTGGAAAAATCAAAAAGAGAAGAAATGAAAACTGACAATTCTTTTTTTTTTTTCAAATTATTACAACTAAGTTTTCTACTAGAAATTTTTTTCCAGTAGAAAAATAATAAGAAATCTTTCTTGTTACATTTTTTTTATTATATTTAATTAATGAGTAAGAAAGTCAGTTTTTGATTTTCCGTGTATTTTTTATTTTGGTAATTGAATAAAAACAGAAAGAACGGGAAAATTTACAAGAATAATTTAATTATTTTCAATTTTTTAAATTTTGTTGTTGTAATTCAGTTAAAAACATTTGTAAGGACTAAAAATCTTATCCAAAAAATTTATATTTACTTTTTTCTAGATGTGATAAAATTTTCTTAACACTAACTATTTTTGAGCTATTTATAGACATTTTGCAAGTTTTTTATGTAATTTTTATTTGATAGGTACTCTGTAGATAAAATTGTTAGACTAAAACGAAATACTTGAAAATTCAACTTATAACTATAGATCAATCAGTCATTAATTACCTCCATACGCCACACCAGTGACAATGTCTGAATGTGTTTCATTTTAATTTTTCAATAATAATATGATTCATCAATTTGAATTTATATGAATAAATAAAAGATTTCTGGGATACCGGTCAAATGTGAATCTAGAGTAATGGTAGATGTAAGCCTCTCCCTCCTCACCATCTTGGTCAGACTTCGAAATTACTAAACAATAAATTGTGATAATTTTATTTTTTATATACATTTTATTCATAAAACAATATTATTTTGTATGTTTGTACCACTTTTATATCCCTTTATTAATGTTATATTGTTATATGAGTTGTCATCATTATCATTTATGTAGGTATTTTTCGATATGAATAAAACATTAGTTAATGAATATATGAGAGACAAGTGAGCTAATTTTTTTTCAGGGGTAGGAGGGTATTTTAGTAATTAATATTTTGGTCCGACTTTCTTTGAAATTTTCGCCTCTACTTCCCAACTTTTCATCTACAACATTGGCTCACCCATCGTGCAAAGTGTGTCCTTCATTTAAATTCTGAGCGAATCAAGGAATGTATTAGTTAAACAATGATATTTACTTTTTTATTATTATTTTTATCTGTTACAACTTTTTTACCAAAAATCTTGCTTCAATTTTCAAGTGTAGCACATTTTCTGAAAATAAATCTGACTGGGGTGGTATGCTATGAGGTCATTTTTTTTATTTCCCCATAGTTTTTCATAGTTTCCTTAATAATTGGAAAAAAACAGAAGAATTTACGAAGTGTATTTTAAAATAATAATTTTAAAATCATAAATATCATTTATTTTAAAACATATAGAGATCAGTTAACTGAACTCTGCTCAGATTGTTTTTTTGTTATCAAATTTTAATCATTGGGTACAGATATACTTTAAATTCCACTTTATATTCTACCTTCCCGACTTCTCACCTATAACTGTAGCCCACTCATCGTATGAAGAATGCCCATATTTTTTTATATATATATTTTGTATTATTAAGAATGAGAATACCTATTATATATTATGTAATACTAAAGTTTATTGATTTGTTTTATGTAATACTCTGAAGTGTAAGCTTTTATAATGTTTTTATTTTAGATTGAAATGGATACTATACTAAATAATGTGTTGAGTGAATTGAACATTTTAAGATTTTCTAATAGTTCAACTCCTGTATTAGAGCCATTAATCAAAAAACTCTCCGATATAAAAACAAGGCCTACTCAAAGTGACATATTAAAAGTAAATAAAGTTCATTTTTCCTAATTTTAATGTCTATAATAAACAATAGTATTATGTGTAACACAAATGTTAACAATTATGAGTTTTTTGAAATTTTCAGTGTATAATTAAATTATTAACCTTCTTTTAATCTAAATATTTTATACTTTCTAAACCTCATTTTGTAAAAATTTAATAATACACTAACTAATAACTAACTAACTAACTAACTTATAAGTTGTTGAGAAATGAGAAATATCACATAGTCATAAAATTTGTTTTTTTTAATAATGTAACTTGAGTAAAAATAGGATTTGAGAAGGTTAATGTAATCCAACTAGTTATGTAAAACTGTACATTTTGAAATCCACCAAATATTTTAAAATAGTCTTCATAAAAATATTTTTAAATGATGTATGATATGTATATAATAAAGCATTGAAAGTATTTACATAATTTATGTTGTGTATCAACTAAATTTTAAAATAAACTAAGAAATACTCATGAGATTATGTTTATACATAATTTATTTTTAAATAATGATAACTTACTAAATAACTTGTACCGAAATATTATTTTTTGTTGTCTTTTATACAAATATTAATTTAATTGTATAGGTTATGACACCGCCTTTTGCAAGTGACATGTTCAATTATGAGCGCATGGAAACCTATGGTGATAGTTTTCTAAAATTTGCTATTTCATTAGTATTATTTGATGCATTTCCAGCTGAAAATGAAGGATTTCTTACTGAATTAAAAATGAAAATTGTTGGTAATCGAAACTTAGCTTATGTTGGCAAAAATATAGATATTGGATCCTACTTAATGGTATTTCAAGAGCTAATAGAAACCTTAACAAATTCAAAGTACTGTAATAATTATTATATTGTAGGTTAATATTTTTGACCCCATGGATTGGATACCTCCGTGCTTTTCTGTTCATACAAAAATAAAGGAAATCATTGAAAAGGGTAGTCTGCAATCAGATGTACTTCATCAAATATCCATTCCAAGAGATGATAAACTTTCAGGTAAATTTAACCAAATATTAGTTTTAATATTAAATACTAAAATAACAGTTAATTATGTAAAATGTATTTAATTAGTATTTAGACAAATCATATTAAAAAATATAAATATATTAGATGATTAAAATTATTTTTATAATATACAATGTTTTAATTTTAAATTAAATTAAGAATTCCTATTCATAATTTATAACTCCAACTTATGGTGGAGTTACCTATAGCCAGTATCCCTGCTATGGACAATCATTTTTATTTTATTCATAAACAGTTTAATTTTTAGATTCTGAGTGGAGTGAAGAAGCTTATAGTTTTACAAAAATGTTTTTTTTTTTTTTTTTTTTTTTTTTTTTGTATCTGTGCCCAACCTTTCTACTAGAAGACTTGCTCAGATTTCTATGTGTAGCACCTTTTCTAAAAAGAAATCGGTGTAGGGAGGTCACTTCCATTTTCCCAAAGTTTTCTCAACAAATGTGAAAAACCAAAAAAACAACAGAAGGAAAACTGGGAAAATAAGTATAACATTAAAGAAAATTTATAAAGCGTTTTTAATTAGTATTTTACTATTAGATTATTATCAATAATTGGCTGAACTCTGCATGGAATTTTTTTCTCATAAGCAATGGTTTATTGTTACCTACAGGTATACATTAAATTATCTATAACAGTGGCTGCACCTGTCCACGTTATCCTAGGACATCTTTTTAATTTTATAAAGCATATAGTTTTTTTTGTATTCAGTTACATTAAATAATTTACTGGTTGGTGTTAATTATAACAAAAACATAGAAAGAGTTTGGTTATAGAATGTGAAAATGTAATTTTAAAATATTGATACATACTATTTTTTCATTCTAATATGTTTTAAAGTTTTGATTTTTTTTTCAATTATCGTAGATATCTTAAATCAAATATTAATTATTTTAAAAATGTCTATACCACCCTATTATGATTAATTTAATATATATTTTAGGAAAATTGTCAGATAACACTTGGATCAACATAGAAATTGAGCTCCTGAAGTTCAAACAAGTATCTGATATGCCAATGTCTAATAGTGATGAAGAAAATCCAAGTGTAGGTCATTCACAGTCCGATTTATTTATACATAAACAATCAGTTTCAGATAAAATGGTAGCTGATTCTGTAGAATCACTTATTGGAACTTATGTAAAAGTAAGTTGATTAAACAAAAATGTTATACTTAATACTTATAATATATTTTTTTTAATTAAAAATTTTAGAGCTGTGGAGTTGAAGTAGGTTTCAAAATTCTTATTGGTCTTGGTATCTTACCTGAAAGATTTGTTGACAAACTAAAAGAAAAACAATCAAATATTCAATTTATAAATTGTTCAAACATTTTACCTGGATATGAAATACTAGAAGATCGAATTGGTTATTCATTTAAAAATAAGAGCTTATTAATTCAATCTCTTACTCATCCAACTTACCAAACTGGAATTACTGAATGCTATCAAAGACTTGAATTTCTTGGTGATGCTATACTAGGTTAGTCAAAGCTTTTTCAATAAAATAATAATTCCATTAAAAATTGTTTATGTATTAAATAAAACATTAGATCTAGGACCAGATTAGAACTCTGAAATTTACTGTTCTCAGTATTTAACCAACCCATTTTACTAATCAATACCCTGTGTTTTTGAGTAGGTACTTTAAGTACTTCTCTAGGTGTATCTCTCTAGATACACATTTTGTCTTTTTTTGGGGTAAATATGTCAGCAAAAAAACATTTATTTGCTACAAATTTTGAGAAAATAAAAACCAAAAACTTACGGAATTAACAAAATTAGTAAACTTATGACATACCACATATATATCTAATACTTAGCAAAAACCAAAGAGAGGACTTATAAACTTCATGAAATATATTACTTTTTAATTAAGTAAATAATACCTCTGTCAAACCCTGAATTTTTAATAGTTTAATTTTCCTAACACTGTTATTATACATTTAAAAATAATTTTACATGTAAATTATTAAAATTGTAATTATTTTAAGAGCACAATTTCAATTGACCATTTAATTATTAGTAAATATTTTATTAAAACCGAATAGTTATGGATAGTTTTGATCTTTTGCAGATTTCTTTAGGAATGTAGGCTGTTTTATTAATGCCTTTTCACCTTTTACAATTCTTTTAGGTTCTAAGTGGAGCAAAGAGGCTTATAGTTTTACAAAGATGTTTATTTTTTTTTTATCTGTGTGCAACTTTTTTACCATAAGACTTGTTCAGATTTTTAAGTGTAGCACTTTTTCTGGAAATCGGTGTGGTACTTTAGGGAGGTCATTTTTTTAATTTTCTCAAGAGTTAAAAAAATAGGAAAATGTATAAAATATTACAATTTTTTTTGTGCACAACTTTCCTAACATCAATTTTGTTCCAACTTATAATGATAGCAATGTTTCTAAAATGAAATTTCATTAGAGAGGTAATTTTTCGATTCTCAGAAGTTTTTTCATTAAATTTGAAAAACTAGGATAAAACATGGGATAACTAGGAAAATTGGTTCAACATTAAACAAATGTTATTAAAGAAAATATATAAAGCTTATTTAATTATTATATTACTACACAATAACATATATTGTTGACAAATCATCATTTTTATTGAACTCCGCTCAGAATTGTTTTTGGTAAGCAATAGTGTATCGTTGCTTACAGATATACATTATGTTATCTATTACACCACTGTTATTCATGCACCTGTTCCCATTATCCTAGGACGTGTTTTTCTCATTCTAGTCTTTAAATAGGTATGTGTTACATTCAAATTTAAAAATAATAATAAAACAATTGTTCAATTTGTTCAACTTAATAATTGATGATTGGCGCTAACATGTAACTATAGGTGTAGTCAAAAGGAACAAATTTGCACTCCGAGGATATTCAATTAAAATACTCAGATATCATTTTTTTTTATTCCCAAAATGAAACTCCATCCACTGGAACGCGTTTTCATGCTAAATGTTCCATCTACATGTATAAGTCTATGATGTTAAATTTCCAATAATCTATAGAACTCCTACACGTATAACCTAACCTTTTACACCAGATTGCATGTATTCCCGTGTCTCAGCAAACAATACATGCATGATTGCTACTGCCACAGCTATCTATTAATTATTATTTAATAGGAATATTACCTAATAATGTGTTATTAAGTATTTAACTTATTTAAAAAAAATTTTATTTAGTCCCAAAATTTAAAATTTTGTGGTTCTCCACCAGACTTAAGCCTGTTCCGCCAACCTAATCTGGACCTGATTTGATTAATTACGCCAAAATAATAAGAATATCCTATTATAAATGTAATTAGGGCCTGTTAATGCTAACTTAACATAACCTACCTTACCTTATTTTTTTTTTTTTTACAAAATAGAAATATTGTTATACATTCAAATTAATATAAAAATTGTATACAATTTCAGATTTCATAATTACAACATATATAATTGAGCATTGTCATAACAAAACTCCTGGAGAAATAACAGATATTAGATCATCACTAGTAAATAACATTACATTTGCCTCATTAAGTATTCGCATTGGGTTGCATAGATTTCTTCTAGCTAAGTCAATAAAATTAACTGAAGCTATTGATCGTTTTTATGAACATCAGCAAAGAATTGACCATAAAATTGGCCAAGAAGTAAGACTTAAATAAATTTACTTTTATACTGTAATGTAATTGATTATTATTTATTTATTTAGGTTCTATATCTCATAGAAGAAAGAGATTATTGTGTTGCTGAATCTATTGATGTACCGAAAGTATTGGGAGACTTGTTTGAATCACTAATGGCTGCAATTTATTTAGATTGTGGTCGAGATTTAAATTTTGTTTGGTCTATTTGCTATAAATTTTTGGAACATGAAATTAGTGAGTTAAAATATATGTGATAATATTTATGGTTTAATAATTCATTTCAAAAATAATGTATTTTATTTAATTCACACATTTGTATCTGCATCTCTTATACATTAATATCTCTTCAAATTGTTTGTATGTTCTATTTATATTCAATATACTATTTTAATTCTGATAACATATATTGATAATATAGTATATCAATTCTATACCTCAGAACCATACAAACGTAAGTCGCATTATTTTTTAGCAAAAAAAAAACAATGTAAAACATGTAATATACTAATTAATAATCTAAATAATAATTTTTCGACTTACTTTCGTCTAGTTCTGAAGTACAGAATAAGGAGTTTGGAAAAAAATTATAAATTGGTTAATCATTTTTTGATTACAGAAGAATTTTGTACAAATATTCCCAAAAATCCTATACGTATTTTGCACGAAACAAAAGTAGTACCAATTTTCAGGTCTGTATTATTATAATATAAATTTAAACTATATATTTGCATGTGTACTTTATTGATAAATTTAATATTTAAAAACTATATTCACTAAATTCTTTTTTTATTTCATTAGTTAAAGAATAATTTTTAAAACTTATATATTTTTGTAATAGATTTAATGTTTCTAAATGAAATACAATAATTAAAAGTATCCTAAAAATCCTTTGAACTCTATGTATTTAATAATTTTTTTTATTTAAGTGACAATTTTAGAATTTATTGCAGTTATAAAAATAATTATATAACTATCTGTATAGTTATAATAATAATATTTATTACAATAATTAAATTAGTATTTATAATTTTTATTTTAACATATTTTAAGTATCTACCTTAGATGTCTATTTTATTTTATTATTTGAAAAACATGATCCTGAAGCAATTGTTAATACCGTGTTTACTATAAAACTTAAAATTTTAGCTACTGAGTAAAAAATATTTTGGTTTTATTATGTGTCTTATTTGTGTAAACAACTGTTCTACCAGAATCTTGCTCCAATAAAAAAAAAAAAAAAAAAAATACTAGATTTTTTTCTAGAATTTTTCTATCTAGTTGTGCATTAGGGTGATAATTTTTTAATTTTTCATCTAATTTTCTTTATAATTCAAAAAAAGAATTCTATTTCATAGTATATGTCATTAACAGTTTCATTATTTTGTTGTAATTCAGGTAAAAATAATCATAGATTACTTATGTTAGCTTATATTTTTTAGCCGTTTTAATTTTTTTGGTCATCCTTAATGTTTGAAAATTCAATACTAGGTTCATTAAATTCTCTAGTTTATAGTAGAAAAAAAAATGTTGAATGTAAAGTAGTAGTTTTATTATATAATTAATGTGCATTGACCATCACTACTATCATTTTTTTACTGTTTTACTTTTTAATAAGTCTGTTATTTTATTTACAGTAAACCTACTGCTTCAAATCAATCAATTCAAAGAGGCATTGGAACTATGGTACAATTAGAAATAACTGTGAATAACAAAATTATTACTATTTATGGATTTGGCCAAAATAAAAAAGAAGCAAAAGTTGCTGCTGCCAAAATGGCATTAAAAAGAATGAATGAAATGGTATAAGTATACATTTATATGTGTGTACAGACATTTTTTTTTTTCATTTATATATTTTTTTTATCAGTTTATATTTTTGATGATACAAATTAACTTTTAAAAAAGTACCTATTTTACATATTATAATCATGGTTATTATAGGGATATATTAATTTATACTTTTTATTTTAGAACACATTAATAAATATTCTTTACATGCCAGTAATAAACCTTTGTATTTATTTTTTTAATAATATTGTAAATCACACCTTATTATGTATGATTGTAGGTATGTACCAACCATTTATAGAGGTATTAAATAAAGAATAAGAAAATCTAAACTAGAACTTAATATTTAAAAAAAAAAAAAAAAAATAGTATTTATTAACTGTAACAAATAAAAATAAAAAAGAATTTATAAAAGCTAATAATCGAGGTGAATTAATATTCCAAATTAATAAATCATAATTTAACATAGGTGCCAAATCGTACCTTATCAATTCAGTAACTGGAAAATGGTATACTTAGTACTTATGTTGTTACAAAGTCACAAATTACCATTTCTAGGAAAAACAGTAATTTCAATGATATTGAACTTTACAATTTCTACCTTAACTTATGAAATATTGTATTTATATTAAGATGTATGGTTAGATTAGGTTGTGTACAAAAATATACACATACCATTTATTGTTATTTTAGTAAGTTTTTACTCATTTTTATAAGAACACAAATATATCTATATTATACTCATCTCCTTACCCTCCCCCCCCCAAAAAAAAAAGAAACAATCTACTGAAAACATAAATCATTTATTAATAAATAGCTCATATTAACATTACATCAAGGCTTATTATTGCTCATTTTTTTTTTTTTTACACAATATTTAATTTTAGTTTTATCAATTTTGTATACGATGCCGTTTTCTATTTTTTCTCCCATCCTCTAGTCTTTTACGTTTTCCACCTCCTTTCTTTTTTTCCCATTCTAGTTGTTTCTTTGAAGCATTATCCCTGACCAATATATCATCTCTTCCGCCAGATTTATTTTTACCTGCTGCGTCCAACATTGCTGCAAACTTTTCTGCAGGTACAGCAAGATCTGCAATATTTTTTGATTTTTGTGGAACTATAAAATCATCATTGTCATCATCAGTTTCTGATTCATCAACAAGCTCTTTTACTTTTTTAGATTTAGTCTTCTTTTCAAAACCTCGTGAAAAATCGTATTTTTTTTTTTTTTTACCACCCATCATACCATCTAATAATTCATTAAAATCTTCACTATTAACACTATCAATATCACTAAAACCATCTTCATCAGAATTATCATGTAATTTTTTATTTTGCTTTGGTCTTTGTTTTAAATATTTGTATAAGAATACTTCATCTAAAGGTATTTGTTTTTCTTCATGTCTTAGGTATTCTTCACTTACTACTGACATACCTTTTAATCCTTTAGGAACATAGTGTTTTCGAGAAGTACCAACAGATCTAAACAGTTCTTCATTTTCTTCTCCTTGGTCTTGTCTTGGTTTTTTAGGATTTTTAAATGAAAATCGATCAAGAAAATGTAATAAAGTAAAGTCTGCTAAGGGGTTTCCATCATAATATATAGATTTACCTGCTATTATTCTAGAAGCAAAAGTTGCAACAGTAGGATGATAGTGTCGACTCAAAGAAACTAATTCAGCTAAGATTGCATATTCACCACCAGCAAATTTTGGATTTCTAGCAGTATAATCATAATAATTTTTAATTTCTCTTTCCTTAAGTACTTGAGATACCTGAGGTTCTGTTATTTGAGGAGCTTTAACATGATACCAAGAAGATGGTTGAGGAGATTGGGTTAAATCTGTTAAATTGGATTGTACAACATCAAAATATTTCTCTTCATCTACTTTAATTTTTTCAGTTAAAATAGTTGATGTTTTTGGTATGATTAATGTTTTAATATCTTCAAATTTAGACTTTCCAATTATTCCTTTGTGTTTCTTCATTAATCTCGATGTCATACAAAATATTCCACTTACTAAAGGAACTGGACAATACAAGCACATTTGAAATATACGTTTCATAAAAGATACCATACGTTCTTTACATTCATCATCTAAAATAGATTTATAAATCAAGTGAATAAATATAGCTTGATGTGATGTGCTAATTAATCTCTCATCAGATATTTTTTTATAAAGTGCAGTGTAATATCTGTCATTATTTTCTAATTGCCTAATCAATAATAGAGCTTGTAATGAAATATTGAATGGAGCTAAATGAACAATTTTATACATTGTTTGTATTTGTTCTGGTTGAATACCACTTTTTACATGAGGGTATGATTTATTAACACCAACTAGCAAAGCACCAATTAGTCTTGAATCAATTGCTCCAGTCTTGACACAGGCTTTAAAGAATGCTAGGTACAATTCAATTACTTCTTTTGCCATATTTTTTACATCAATTTGAGTTAAAAAGCAAATACCATAATATTGAGCTCTTTGTTTTATATTTGAACGAAATAATAATTTTCTAACTTCTTCAAAAATAATTGTATTAAGATTTTGACGATGTTTCAGAACTAGACGTAATGTGTACATAGCTTTTGAAGCCACTTTATGAACAGTATCACCAAATTTATTTACAAGGTATCTAACAATTTGCATTTCACATTCTGTACTATTGATCAATAATTTATACATAGCAGAAATACTTTTTTCACGATTTATTGCTACAGAATCTAATCCAACATTACTTAGAGCTCCAACATAACTAGCATACAAGTTTTTAAGTTTTTCTTCGAATAACCAGGAACTAAGTAGAAGTTTACGTTGTTTTAAATCATCTAGTTTTGATAATTCACTTAATGGCTGATGTTCAAAATTTAATAACTCAGTTTTCAATAAAACTCTTGTAAATAATTCAGTTAAGGAATCAATTACAAGAGAACATTGTTGCTTTTTTCCTATTTTCACCATGTTTACAAGATTTTGTAATGCATTGATATTATGCAAAGGATCTTCTTGGATCTTGATAGTAAGTGCAGCTATTTTGTCTGAATACGTACCTTGTTTGGCGATCTCTGTAATCCATGATTTTTTGTGGTCCACTTGTGGTTGATGTTCCAATATTTTTTCAGCTTCAAGCCTCAAGATTTGTATTTCAGATGCAGATAGATTAGTACAAGTGCCAAATGACGGTAAGTTTTCAAACCATTTAGGTACATCATTATTATCATCATCTGCTGAATCCGAATATAATTCTTCATACATTGCTAATGAGTGATGAATAAACTTTAAAAGAACTTCGACAAAAAGTCGTGTTTACTGTCACTCATTATCTTAGAAACAGTGCTCGTGTTTGTACATTTCTAACCTCAAATGGCTCAAATACCCAATGATAATATTATCTATGCAAATATCAATAACCGGCACGACTATGGATGAAGGGTGAAAATAAAATAATAAAACCGGTAACCGTATTTATGCGATTTCATCCAAAAATATCTAAGCAGAAAACTTGTCCTATGGCCTATAGTATCTCAGCCGAAATTATAACAGTCCACAGTATTTTATCCGAAACTATTAGTTTTATCAACTTGTTAATTTATTATCATTGTTTTAGAAGATGGTAAATTTGATTATCTATCTATTTTCGTTTTCCAGAATTTCTATTTATTCCAGTTTAATTAATACACTGGAGTTGTGAACTAGTTGTCAAAGGGGTCTAATGGCCAAATCGGGAGTGCGTAAAATATCCGAACAGTATTTTGGCCGAAAAATAATAAGTCGAAAATATTTTACCTGAACCTTTTTTTTGACCATGACCACAATTTAAGATAAATCTATCAAAGGTGAATTAATCCCACAGATATATAAAACAATATTGTTTTACAATATCCACAAGGGGGGTGTCTTCTCGATGAACTGAATACTGTCTATCACGATTTAAGATAGTACTACTATTTTTGTATAGGATAGTAATATTATCTTAAATCATGCTGTCTATACGTCTTCCATAGGCACTAAGTCATTACATATCTTAGTTTTAAGGCTGTCCTGTAGTATACCACAGTCTACAATGTATACACATTGTCTATGTCTTTTTAATGGTAAGATAACGAATGTTTTCTACTAAATAAATTACGGTTCGGATCACTATTAAAGATATCTATAATCATCGTTCGAATGAATTATTTTTGACAGATTAATTTTTCGACTAAAATATTTTTCGTATATTATACTTTCGTATTTATTATTTTTAGGATAAAATACGTTTCTATTGAAATATTTTTCGAATACAATATTTTCGGACATCCCTATGGATATCTAGATTTTCCATAGTTAACTAGATCTCCATGGGTTAATTAAATTCGGTTTTTATTCGAAAAATTTAATTTTATTCGAAAACAATTTAGCAATTTTCGAAATATATTTACGAAAATTATTCGAGCAGAAATCTTAATATTTTTAGGATTTCCTCATGTGACATATTTTAATAATGATAACATTCTATTATGGTACTACCTATTATGTGCCGTAAATCGTAATATGTATAAAAAAATAGTATTGGTCACTCTAATGTACGGTTACAACCATTCAACTATAAGATTTTATAGTTCTATCTATACATTTTAAATTTATCTTATAGTTCAATGGTTGGACTATAAAATAAGTATACTATGGATTGCATTCTGTTTAGCCGCAGCCCGCAGCTCTAACGGTTGATAAATTAAAGATATATTATGTCTTAAATTAACAAATGTATGTTGCTCAATTATTTTTTTATATACAGGTTATTACCATAAATCATAATACTGGTTATCAAATGAATAGTTCCATTGTTATCTTTGTTTATGAATTTAATTAGGTACCTAATTAATTTGAGTGTTGGCAACGAACAACAACAATATGCTCAAGAAACCTAATCTAGGAAAAAACTTTAGTAAAGACGAAAAGAAACTTTTATTGGACTTGGTTATACCATATTAAGAAATTGTTGACGGCACCAAGAATCTGATGTGTTTGATGAACTATTCATTATTGATTTAATTATCTTCAGTTAATTTGGTTAATTCAGAAATATGAATTAAAATAATATTTGTAACCGGGTATTAATAATTTATCTGATGTTTTCACTTGTTTCATCAATCAAGCGTAAGTCTTAGTAATGCCATCTAGTAGAGATCTGGATCATAAAGTGACACACAACTGGGGTGAACGACCTAACATTTGTCTTCACAACTGTTATACACTTGGCGTCACAAAAATCGCACATCTTTAAAATTAAGTTTCAAACGGGCATTTCCCCGAACCAAAACATTTAATCCAAACAATAAAGATATAAATTGAAAGTACAGTTAATGACCTCTTATCCGATAGTAGTTTCATTTCATAAACAATAATCATATTCCGAGTATACGGTGCATTAGGAAAATGTATAAATATACTCCTATCTTATCTTATATTCTTTGGCTATAGAAAAATCAGTTTAAAGTGTCAAATGCAGGTCATTCACTTCCTAAACATTGAAAAGGACGTACGTGAATACTCTTTAAACAATATTATTTCAAAAAATAACGTATTAAATGGATACAACTGCTAACGAAGCCGCTCAAGTGGTAGCATNGGCATGGATCAGGCCGACAACGCTGCACAACGGACAGAGATGATCGTTTTATTGTCTCGACGTCTTTGCGCAATCGATTTTCCAATGCTGTAGAGCTTCAACAGCAACTCCGCGCAGCTCGCAGTACAACAGTAAGCACCTCTACGGTTAGGAGAAGGTTAGGAGAACAAAAAATTGTGGCCCGCAGACCTGCTACCGGTCCGAAACTGACTGCACAGCACCGCAAAGAACGGTTACATTTTGCCCGTGAACATTTTAATTGGACGCTTGACCAATGGAAGACTGTGCTCTTTTCTGATGAAACAAGGGTGTGTCTATACAGCAATGACAAACGAAGGAAAGTGTACCGAAGGCAGGGCGAACGGTTTGCACAAGCCTGTACCGAGGAGACAGTGGAGTATGGAGGTGGATCATGCATGTTCTGGGGCGGCATTTCCATCGATAGCAAGACCGAGCTTGTGTGCGTTTCCCGAACTGGTGGCGCTCGAGGACAAGGATCGCTAACTTCTGATCGATACATTACAGAGATCTTAGAAGAGCATGTGGTACCATATGCGGGTTTTGTTGGAGATGGGTTTATACTAATGCACGACAATGCTCGTTCCCACACCGCATTAATTGTAAAAAATTATACGGAAGAGGTTGGGATCCCTGTTATGAACTGGCCAGCGAGAAGTCCAGACCTAAACCCAATTGAGCACCTCTGGGACGAATTAAAACGAAGAGTGCGGTCACATGATCCTGCCCCAACAACCCTCCAAGATCTTCAATATGCTGTTGTTGCGGAATGGGTGAACATTCCTCAAGAACGCATCGTACGACTCATAACTTCTATGAAAGATCGTATGGAAGCAGTAATTAAGGCAAGAGGAAGTAGCACTAGATTTTAAATAACATTTAGTAACAGTTTTTTATTTTTATATGAAGTCTATTGTCTGTTTCTGTTTATAAAACTGTATATCCTCAATACAATTTGTTTTCCTCTTCCACGATTAACTTATTTTTTAAAACACTGATAAACAAAAACACATACCATTTATTTATTTTTCAAGTTTATTTCATCACCTTTCAAATGATATATCATAACAGTACCCTTATATATGATTAAGTGTAGTTAAAATTACTTTGAAAAATAATTTGCAATAGGTGCGATTTTTGTGACGCCAAGTGTATTACCAAAATATGATAGGGCATTGCTACATTACTCAATGGGTCTATCCACATCGCTGCCTCTATGTTACACTATTTCTAAAATATATAAATGTTGGTAGTGTTGTATGGTGGTGTTTTGTCGGATTCTGATCCGTAGATTATAATATATCCGTAGCTTTTTGTCATGCTTCATAGGCTTGCCCATCTTAGGCTATCAGTTATCCGGAACATCTCACTTACAATTGAAAAACTATAAAATTATGGCCTATACATTTCTTTATTATTTATACCACAATTAACATGACTTTTTTGCCAGTTGGGCAACCAGTATAATTTTGAGATTTAAATTCTGATTTAAAATAAGTTAATTTTGTTAACTAATAATAATTAATGGTTGGTAGTACTTTTTTTGTATCATTTGTCGGTTTCTTATCAGTACATAAATATTTGTAGGTTACGGACTTTTTTTTCTTTTTCAATATTTCTTTTAGTCAGTTTGATTTCCATTATTCTTCTATAATTCTATATATATTGTTATATTTTTTACTGTTTCCATCTAATGCTCATAATGCTAAAAGATTATTCAAAGTTGATATCTGCATAGATTTTTAATTTATATTATTTTATTAATAACAAAAGTGACATTTTAACCTCGTAAGATACCTGTAAATTATGTTAATAAATTTGGTTTAAATTTAATTTATTTAATTATTAAATTTAAGCAATCATGTCATGGATTTTCGGAATGGGTGGCAACAAGCCAGAACCACCCAATTTGGATGAGATATCTGGTGTTTCAGATAAAAAACCACCACCACCTCCATCTTCAAGTGGTGAGGCATATAAATTTGATTCATCTGCTTTAGAAAGAGCAGCTAAAGCCGCTAAAGAATTAGAAAAATCAAGTAGGTATTTTTTTTAAAATATTCTCTATTGATTGTTATAAAATAAATAACTATTAATTTTTGTATTACCTATTGCAAATTTTAAGAACATGCCAAAGAAGCATTAGACTTAGCTAAATTACAAGAAACTTCAAAACAAATAGAATATCAATCCAGAATAAAAGAATTTGAAGTTCATTTGGAACAAACACGAATGGAACAAAAAAGAATTGAAGCTGAAGAAAGAAAAAAGTTGTTAGCTGAAGAAACTAAACAGCATCAATTACGATCTCAATACCAAGATCAATTAGCTCGCAAAAGGTGTTTTGTAAAATTAATAATTTTGTTTTTCATTTTTATTAGAAATGATTAATCTATATACAAAAATGCATAATAAGTTTATATAAAGAGTAAGATACATGAAGGAGTTGAATAAGCAGCCATTAGTGACATTTAACTGGATTTTGTACAATGTTTTATATAATATTCTGGTGCAAATTAATTCTAGGTATGAAGATCAGCTTCAACAACAACGAGCATCTAATGAAGAGAACTTGAGGCGACAAGAAGAATCTGTTGCTAAACAAGAAGCTATGAAAAAAGGTATCTTATGCAAAAAATAATAAATTATAATTTTTTTATTTTATTACTTTTATAGCTACTATTGAACATGAAATTGAGATGAAATCCAAATTAGATGCAAAAAAATCTGAAGCTAAAGCATTAGCAAGAGCAAAAGCAGAGAGAGAAAACCATGATTTAACTATGGAACAACTCAAATTAAAGGCTTCTGAACATCGTCAAACTGTATTAGAATCTATAAAGTAAGGAACTTTTCTTCTTTATGTATGAATCTAATAGAAAATTAAAACATTTAAAATTTATCATTTTTTAAGAACTGCTGGGTCAATTTTTGGAAGTGGAGCTAATGCATTACTTTCTGATTGGGATAAAACTTTAATGGCTGCTGGAGGTTTATCTCTTTTGGCCTTGGGTATATACAGTGCCAAGGGTTTTACCAGTGTTACAGCAAAATATGTTGAATCAAGATTGGGTGAATATACTTAAGTTAAAGTAAAATTATTGTGATATTGATCAGTGCAAAAGTTATAATAATATACCCGTATTGCCCTTTGAAATAACAATATGGGTATTGTATTATACCCATAATTATATTATTATATGATTAGTATACTTAACTTATGTATTCTAATGAAAAACGTGCGTAATTGATCACAGTAAAAAAAAAAAATACCAATTTTAAAATTAAAACTTACAGTACTGAGGAATCTTTTTTCACAATACTTATTTACTGCTGCCAAAAAATAAAAACAAAATACCTTTCTGCTCACTATGGATCTGTCTATTATAAAAATATAAAGGAAAACCAATACACACTCACACAATAACGTCTATTTTAATTTTCAATAAATTAACATAATACATTTTTCACTATTATTTTAAGAAATCTGTTCTGTGTGAAAAATAATAAATCAATTTTCAGACTCTCTTATATTTAAATGTACAAGGATCCTGCTCTGAGGGAAAAAATTTACTCTGTGTCTATATGCCCAACCATGGTCTGTATCATAATATGACTATGGTTGATAAAATAAGGAACATCCAACCATAAAAAAAGACCAACATACTTTGTGAAATGGGTGGGCCACGATTGTAAGTGTGTAGTTGAGAAGGTAGGATGTAGAAGAGAATTCAATGTTTTTATGTATGCAACAATTAATCATTGCTAACAAAAAAACTATTCTGAGCAGAGTTCGGTTGTACATAGTATTTTAAAATACCTGTTTGGTAGTTGGTCTTACGATTTTATCCACAGAGTACCTATTAAATATTGCATATAGAACTTTCAAAATTATAATTGTCTATAAATAGCTCATATGTTTTGAGAATTGTACTAAAATATATTTTTTTTCAATCAGTTTCAAACAATTATTCAATAATAATCACAATGACTGCAGGATAATTCTTTATCGCAACAGTAGTTCTTTTAATATTAATTGTTTTTTTCACACTTTTTCTAGAAATTAAAATGGCTATTACTAATAAACTATGCATCAGATATGTATATGTGATACATTACAATTTTTAGAATAATATCTTTTACAATATTGTTATATTGAAAATTTTGTAAGTGAATAAATAAAGTTAATTTTTTTTTTTTTGTGTTTAGGTGATGACAATAAACATTAAATTTTTTTCCAAATCAATGTCCCCCGATTTAAAAAAAAAAAATTGAAAAATATTTAAGCTCTAGAAAAATTTATTGAACATGGTGGGGACACTGTAAATAAAATATAATAGTATAATAAATTATTATTTTTATATAGGTACTTAGATTTGTTAACTAATTGTTTAAATTAAATTGAAAAATATAAACTAGAAAATTGATAAGAGACTGCACCTTTACACATTTTTTTTTTTATATCAAAAATACTTTCTGCAATAACCTTTTATATTTCAATCATGGTTCTAATTGTATTGGTCTCACTGACCATAATCGGGCATATAGACACAGTGAAAAAATTATTACATATATACTAATAACTACTGTAGGTTCTGTTACTATATGTATTGAATATGTATCTGTGCTAGTAAAACTAAAAAAAAAATAACCCAGTACTTCGCCTATTCTATAACATTTAATAGATAAGTACGCCCATACCCTCCAAAGCTATATTGTGTCCAGTTTTAGTCTGTTACATATTAGGTATATACAAATATTGTTATACTATATAGTTGATAAGTTCGAAAAATTAAAATGTGTTACTTAGGAACCTATAGTAAACCTATCTCATCAATTATTATGTGAATTAACATAACATATATAATATATGTTTGATGAAAATCAATTTAAAAACAAATTTAAATCTGGATAATTATTAACTATTAGTGAAAAGATGGCATCAACTTTGATTGATATATTATTATATTACACAGCTTATCAATATTATAATCGCTTTGTTTTTATAAATAAAAATTTAAAAAATAATTTTTTTTATATATTCTGTCCATTATTTTACTATATAATTTTATATGGATTTTATTCTTGTTAATTTTAGGTAAACCTTCCTTAGTACGAGAAACATCTAGATTTGCTTTGTTAGATGCAGTAAGACATCCAATTTTGACAATGAAAGAACTCAAAATAAAAAAAAGTAGTGCATTAAAAGATGTTATTTTACCACCAAAATTAGAATCTAGATTAGGGTGAGTATATGTTAAATGTCCAAACAAATCATTAATTAAGTTAATTTGTGTATCCAATACCCATTAATTAAAATAAATGTATTATTTACAACTAATGGATTACAGTGATGTTGCTATAGCCACTTTAAATACTAAAAAAAACCGTGGGATGTACCGGAATATTTTAATGTATGGACCACCCGGTACTGGAAAAACATTATTTGCTAAAGTAAGACAATTTATTTACAATTATTAGGTTATCTTACAATATAATATTTTGTATACTAATATATTATGTCCATATTAAGGCCATTATTATTATTATTTGTATGGTTTACAAAGAAATATTTTGTTTTTAAGGTTTTAAATAAATATTACTCGTATTGCATATTTTATATTTTTTTAATACATATAATTTCAATAGTTTTATGCTTTAATTATAATATACTTTTGTTTATACTTTCAAAAAGTTTATATTTTACTTTTTAAATTAAGTTCGCGAGTGCTGCAAGTTCAAAAACAAAAACATTATTTTTACAATAAAAAAAAAAAAAATATCCAATTATCTATATTATGTATTAAATAAAACAATGAAAGGAAAAATTCAATTTTTAGTGCTATTCTAGTATTATATGGTTTAGATTAAGTTTATTTAAATATTTTTTATTATGTCATTTATTTGTAGACAAAGTTAAATTAATATTAAGCTTTATACATAGTCGAATACCGGCATTTATGACTATTTTTCTACAAAATTCCTTAATAATATTTTAAGTCAACATTACATATATAATTTTAGCTATTTTTTGAAATCCCCTTTTTCCTAATTATTTTACATACCAAGGTATGTGTGCATTAGTGCTATTACAGGTTTTTTTTTTTAGTGCCTAATTTTACGGTGTTAAGTGTTATTGGTTGTCTTTTTATAACTCATTTCATAATTTTGACATTCTATATTTTGTTTAATGTTTGTAAAGGAACCTTAAACATATAAATGTTTGTCAATTATCTTTTAATATAAGGTTAATTTTGTCATATATTATTTATTTATAAATTATGATCATATTAAAAATTTAACAATTACAAATTAAATTTTTAGTTAAAATTTTTGTTAATATTAGTAGGTTAATTATTATTATCATATGAATTGATTTTTATTGTTTTTTAGAAATTAGCTATGCATTCTGGAATGGACTATGCTATATTAACTGGTGGTGATGTTGCACCTTTGGGAAAAGACGGAGTTACAGAAATGCACAAAGTTTTTGACTGGGCAAACAATTCAAGAAAAGGTTTATTGTTATTTGTTGATGAAGCTGATGCATTTTTAAGAAAACGTAGTTCAGAGATGATTAGTGAAAATTTGCGTGCAACTTTAAATGCTTTTTTGTATAGAACTGGAGATCAATCAAACAAGTAAGCCTATTTGAAATTGTACACATAATATCTAATACATTTTCTAGTTTAAATTTTCATAATTTTAACTGTTTCAACCATCTGTGTTAAAATAAAAAAAATAAAATTTGCATTAAATTCATTTTTAATTTGTTCATAGATAATTAGACTTGTAAAAAAGTGTAACATCTAGAGTTTTAAATTATTTCAGATTTATGTTAGTTTTGGCAAGTAATACTCCTGAACAATTTGATTGGGCAGTAAATGACAGATTAGATGAAATGGTAGAATTTGGTTTACCTGGCAAAGAAGAAAGAGAACGTTTAATAATGTTATACTTTGATAAATATGTGTTAACACCAGCAACTCAGAGAAAAAGGTAATGAATAATTATTATCTATGATTATGAAATTAAGAAAGAATATTATTTGCAGTAAGTTGAATGTTGACAAATTCGACTACAGCGCATTATGCAAACAAATGGCAGGTATGACTACTGGTATGTCTGGTAGAGAAATCGCCAAATTGGGGGTTGCATGGCAAGCAGCTGGGTATACTTCAGAAGATGGACTTTTAACTGAAGAAATGGTGTTGAGTCGCTGTGAAGATGCAATTAAACAGCATAAACAAAAAGTATTTTTAAACCATTTTATTTTAAATGTATTTAAAGTATTATAATTATGTATATATTTTTTCAGATGGAATGGATGAGTGAAAAAGAAAAAAATGATTCTAGATACACAATGCAAAAAAACATTCAGTAAAATTTAAAATTGTGTAGTAAAATCCTAAATAAATAGTTTCTGACATAGAATATTTTGGGAGCTTATCCCAAAAAACCATAGAATTCCATTATGTTAAATACATACTTTTGTTATTGTAAAATATATTTTGTAAAGTTTTTTCAAAACATTAAAACACAGTAGTAAAAAAAAAAAAAAATTAAAAATGAAGAAAAATCAGATTTTGATTTATACAAATCTAAAACTACTTATGTCATGTAAAAAACTTGATATAATATTAAACACCTTAAGTGTTTGTATTTAAATAAATTTATGTCCATTGAAAGGTCATAAAGTATAACTGAAAAATTATACACAGTGTGTATTAATTATAAATATAATTTATTTATTTAATATTACAAAGACAACTTAAGAACACATTAATATTACATATTTATTTATAATTTATAATAGGAATCTAAAAACATGTTTATAATTTAACTATTTAGGGTATATAATGGTATACATAAATTTGTTTTTAGTTATTTATCAGGAATACATTTAGATTTAAATTATTAAAACTGAGATCATATTTATTTAATTTTAACATTATTGACACAATAAAAATAAATAAAAGGTAACATATACTACAGAACTGTTAGTGATTATTATTTTTTAAATAATGAGTGAGAAAAAGAAATATTGAAATAATGACCAATATTTTTTAAGATCGTTTTCTTGTTTTTCTCCAATATTATGAAATTTTAAAAGATATTTAATGACACCCCTAATGATCAGACCTGTCTAGTTCCACTAATCTATTGTCTGATATTCATTTATGGGGAAGAGTTATAGTCTAACAGGTTTTTTTTTTGTCTAAAAGTATCAAAAAAGGAGTAAGTTTGTTATGAAAATAGATTTAGGAGGGGAGGGGAATATTGAAAAAAGATGTTTGGTTGCTATTGGGAATTATATAAGGACGAGGATAATGTAGGGGATTGGTTCAAGTGGAAGTTTAAGACGAGTGTCTCACCCCAAATAGTTGAAATGAAAACGAAGCATTATCTGAAAATAATTTAATTTGCCATGAAGTTTACTTAAAATCACCTTCTAATATTTTTTTAATTTTCAATATTCTTCTTTTAAAAAGTGATCTTAATTTAAAAATAGTGGTAATCCTATTTTAAGGACATTCAATACAATTTACATAATATAGATCCATTTTGATAAAAAAAAACAGCAAGGAATTGAATCTTCTTAATTAGTGAAAGTAATAACTTTATTTTTTAAAAAAATTACAATTGCTAGCTTTTGTCAATTTAACCATTTACATTTTATATTTTGAGAAAATTGCAATCCTAACCAATTCATACATATTCCCATAATGCTTTAGTGTATAATAATTAAATATAGTAACTGCATGATCATACATGTATTAATTAATAATGTGACAAATTAACAATATAACATGATTAACAAAGTATACAAGGCTGAACAAGAAAACAAAATTTCTTATAGTATTATCAATAATGAACCATTGAACATTAATGATTTTTACTTAGTGTGATTTATTTTTGTAATATTTTCATTAGTTGCTTTGTTTTCAAATGTATTTATTGGTCTAATTTTATTTTCATAACAATTCTATATTTATCATTCAAATAGTAAGTATTTAATTTATTTGTAAACACATTTTTAACTAAGAGATATTGAATGAACAATTTGACAAAAATGATTATTCATAATTAAATTAAAATAAGATTAATAATAAAATTAGAATTGAAGGGTTTAAAACATTAAAAAAAAAAATAATTTATATTTGAAATTTTTTAAATTTAGTAAAATTTATTCCACAATATCAGAGTTCATAAAAAACAAATAACTATCAACTTTTTCAATCACTTTAATTCTGCTAGCAGTGCGAAATTTTACAAACTGAGCAACCCACCTATTTTACACCATATCAAGTGTGGACAGCTTCACGACCTGCTTTTATAACCTAATCACATTCTTTACTTGTAAATATCAAAACATAAATTGTATATAATTTATATATTCTATAGATTTTTAAGTTTCAGTTCATCTGGATAACATCTCGTATGAATCTATGATTCTTTAATGCTATTTATTTTCCTAAAGTTAAAAATTTGTCTATTTTATATTAACATTAAGTTTAGATGACTATGTCAGGGAAACTTTATATGTAAAACATTTTTTTTAAAAAAAAAGTAAAATTTATTACTAAGAGTTAGATGACATAAAATTAAATAAAATATTTTATACAAATTAAATTCACATGATTTTGAATGCAATTAAAATATCACAGTCATTACTTCTTTCACCCATTTCAGATAATCCTAAAATTATTAATGTCTTTATCAACAGTGTACCATAATGTGAAATTTTGTATGGTATCTTGTACAATGTACTTACATTGAAACCAATCATACAACATACAATCCATAAATGAATGTAATTTTGTTATTATTTACTTTTGACAGGTGATTTTCCATAAAAACTGTCCAGGAATAATCCTACAAATACTATAATTGTAGCAATCCATTGTCTAGTTAACATTGGATTACCAAATAATATAACCGATGCAAGTACAGTAAAAAATTTTCTTGTAGTTGTCACAATTGAGCAAGGTAATGGTCCAAAATCACTTACAGTCCAAAATATAAAGAACTGCCCAAGTGCACTGAATGCTGAGAATAAAAGTAATTGCACACAAATTTGTGGGTAACGCTGTACAAAACTAATAAAGTCAAATATTTGACCAGTACCAATAAGTGCCACTCCTAAGAAGAACATAGACCACAGATTCATGTTAACCATCATATGGCCAGACTTTGTTTTTGATTCACTTCGCATTCTTTCTTGAATAGCTCCAGTCACACCATCCATTATCAGTGACAGTATCAATAATATTTCTCCAAGGCCCAACACTGTAAAAAGTATAATATTAGTTAAAATAGAAATTATAGCTTGCAGGTGGCAACAGGCTAATAAGTATCTACACATACTAGAAGAATCAGACTGTGATAATTTGGACTTTCCGTCTTTGAACATGAACAAAGCTACTCCAATAACTACAAGGAGCACAAATAAATATTTCTTCAACGGATATGACTTGCGTCCCAACAGTACACCTAGAATCATAACTGGTATTGGTTTACCAGATTTGGCCACTACCTACAAGGGTATAAGATTATTTGTTTGATTAATAACAATAAGTCATATATAGATTTTGTTTTTACTCACCTGAGTAGGATAGTTGACCCATTGTAATGCCATGTTACTGAAAATCATAGCTAGCAAGTATGTAGTCGCACTGATCGCATAATATGTGGGTCTGGTTGTATCATTGGAGTCTTCAGGAAACGCTTTCAATATGGCTTTGGCGAAAACATAGTTTACTACGCACTGTACAAACACTAACGACAGGGAGTACGTAAACTTTTCGCCTCGCGTGCCATACGTGCCACGGGTGATTTTTTCTTGGAGTATTCCGTAGAAGAAATAGCATACGAATATTCCAATGGCACAGATAGTGAACCTTGCACGTCTATCCATATTGTTATCACAGGTCGCGATCCGCTACTGTCCAAAAATCTAGGATCTATCTACACGTAAAATAATTTACGACAACAGAAAACTACAGACATAATATAATAGTGAAGTACTAAAGAAGTGACATGTCGGCACCACCAAGTGATAACACGACATAGGTACACGTGTCTAGTAGATATTGGAAAACGGTCAAACGCGACGATACGCCTATTGTGGAACACGTAGACTTATTAACTAGTTGACGGCGCCTTAAACATAATATAAAATAAATATCGTCTTATATAGACACAGATATAAATAATATACTTTACGAATAGGAAGACAACTGCATTAATATGTCTGTTAAAACTTCATCAAATTCATAATAGTTGTAACATATATATTATGGTATAATATAATTGCCCCTTACAGTTATAACTGATAAGTAAGCAAGTTTAACCCACAGATAAGCCCGGCTCAGACGATCAAATATTTGATCAAATTAACCATAACTCTGTAGTGATTGGTCAAACATAACCCGCGCAAATTTAATTTGTACAATAATTATTATAGATAATACCAATATCTATTTATAATTAATGGCAGTAGGTACTAATCACTATGCAGATCAAATTTCATCAACACCGTGATACCAAGTCATTATTCATTAGGATATTCTTACATTAGAGCTACCGATAGTTACGAATACCCATTAGTTACGACCGTGAAAAATTAATAAAACTATACAAATTATGGAAACTAAGGAAATTATTCAAAAATAAATGTTCAAGGTTAGAAAATAAGTAAAACACTAGGTAATTATAAGTACCTACTTTTTATGTAGAAGGTATGCATTAGTATTTCATAAATATTATATTTGGAGCGTAGCGAGGGATCTATTGGTTTTACTATAATGTGTATCGTGTGTGTATTACAATTAAAGACAGTTTTTTGTAATTTTAAATAAGTGTCCATCGTCCACATAATATTATATACCTAATATAATAATTTATTCTCCCAAGAATCCAAAAATTCATAAATGTAAATAATTTGTTACTAACTACTAGTTTTTAATGATACCTACCGATCTGTTCAGTATCCAGTTCAGTCTAGCAATATTTTTATTCTCTACGGTTTCATTGAAAACTTATATGAATTAATCCAAAATTGTGTATTTTATCAATTTTTATCATTGTGATGCAGAAATAAATTTTATCATAATTCATGAACTCAAAAATATGTTCAATGATAATTAACGTAATTATTTATATTTTATTTATGCATCAAAAAAAATTTGTTACCCAATTATCTAAATATCTTCCAAAGCCAAACACATTAAAAGAACTAATTTTACTGCTATTAACAAGGTTACGACTACAAGTTATTAAACAAAATTGTTTTATGCAACTTGACTTTTGTTGACAGAAGCTTTCAAAATAAATAGAAAACTTAAAATGTTACTCTAAGAGTATATACGAATATTTAAATACATACGGCTTACTAGGTTAATAATATTTATCTTGTGCGGACGTGAATGTATATCAGTGTCTTCAAAACATTTATTTGTTTCTGGAAGTAAATTTGAACATAATGAAAGAGAGTTTTGAACCATTATCATTATTTTTTGTATTTTATATAAATGCCTTTTGTCAATAACTATATACTTAAAGTATTGTTCAGTAAGTTTGTCGATTTTGAAAACACTCAGTTTTTATTCAATATATATGTGGTATTTTTATATTTCTATTTAACGGAAAAAAAGAATATCTTCTTCGTGAATAAACAAATTACAATTCCCATTTATTAAATTGATCAAAGTATGTAATAAAATACTTTTTATAGCAATAGTAAATTGTAAGTGATTTGGGTTCTTATTGGATCCAAATCAACGTCACATATGTCCAAAGAATAATTCAATTGCATCTTTGCTAAATTTATAAGTTAAGACAAATTTGAAGCTATGATTGACTGGTAGATCTTTGCTATATTTATAATTGATTTTTATTGATGTGGTAAATCCAATGACAAATGTTTTTCTCAGACTTTTCCACAGAGGCACTACATCTACAGTTTTAAGTGATTGTTCATTCTATTTTCTTTTAATACTATATTTTCAATATTAATAGGTTGTTTGAAACCTTTCTGAAAAGTTCTTGAATTTAAGAAATCAAAAATTTCCTCAATAACTAATGAACTAAATTGTTGGTTCACAATTTTTATTGTTATTTGATTATTGTTTTAGGAACTGAAGAGCATCTGCCACTGAACTACTTAGAGTTTGAACTGCAAGCTTAACTTTCATACTGTTGCACTTCCAGTTAATGTGTGCTGATCCAATTTTATTACATAATTTAAATCCAGTTTCATTTTGCAACTAAAACAACTGTTCCAAGTATCTTTATTCAATAAGCTGTCCATTTTCATTTTTAAACGCTTTAAAAGTTCCTAAAGCATTTCTTGATGATTTTATATTGTGACAGACATCTGGAGTAAAATATAATTCTAGATTTGTTGAGTCTATACTAAAATTAGGTTTGATGTTAGAAAATTCTTCATTTAATTTGCATCCTAATATTTTAAAAGTACTGCTATTTGCCTAAGCTCCATTACAAGTTACACTTAATACATTTATTTTATATTTTTGGCATTCAATTATAGTAATTTTTATAAGCTGTTCTTGTACTGAGGATTTAATTTTGTCTTTAAACCAATAACCGATTGGCCATTCACATTTTCCTTTTAAACTTGATAACATAAAAACTAAAACTTTTAAAGCTGGTGTTTAACATTTTTCAACACTTAAATTATTACGAAGATTAAGATATCATAACATTTAAATGCATATGCTCTTTAGTAATTTGTTTGTTTTTTTTTTTTATAGAGTTGTTGGATATAATATATTTTCAGATCATAATATTTAAATCAGATTTTTTTTTACATGTTACTATCAAATATTGTTTATTATTAAAATTTTATATAATCTTATTTTTTTATACAATCATTTTGATTAATGATTTACGTGTATGATTTATTTTTCATTATAATATGTTTTTATCTATATATATAGGTAATAATTTAGTTTATTACTAATATCTGTGGTAATATTATGTACGATTTTATTTGAAATACCCTCCTGCCAAATGATAGATTAGATGTATACTATGTATACTACATCATTAGTAATTACGTACACTTGATATAGTATGTCAATGCGTCTGTGCCAGTACTTCTATGAACCGTACATTCTAGTGTATTCTATAATCAATGACGATATTATAAATAACAATATAATATAATCACTCTGTATATCACTAATTTTACGCTGTATGCATGCCACATCGCGAACTGTAAGGGAAAAAGTTGGGGAAACGGAGCTTAGTAACGCTCCCTACCGTCAGTCTACATGCGCGAAACGGGTTACTTCTCTCGTGGCACGGAGTATAGTAAATACTCATTACTTTATACTCATTAGTCATTACTTCGTACTCGTATTCTGTTTCTATCTTAGATCTAAGGTTTCTATAAAATATCGTATCAGTTCTCGACGCCTGCCACCTGCGCTTAATTTGATTATCCGCCATCCTTTACCAATTTTATATTTTGTTAAATTTGTTTTAATTATTAGTTGAAAATATTCATAATTTAAAGACTCTAGAAATAAGTTACTTATACAATTAATTAAGTAAATTTAATAAATCATTTCAAACGAAAAAAAATTCTCAACAAAATAGTTACCTATCCTATAATCTATATAATATATACTAATTGATGTCTGTCTATCTATCTGTATGGGATTAATAGACTCAAAAACTATTGGAGTAATTTTTAGTACAACAAGAATAAATATATACAATAAACCATTAACCATAACCGTTGATTATACGCTCAGTATAATAGTGTACGAATTAGCGTATTATGGTAAAATTTTAAGTTAGCACACTTGGTGTCAAGCATTTCTGTTTAGTCTAACAATTTTATTCACAGGGCACGGAATACCTAAAATTTAACCACGTATAGAAAAACCAAATACAACTGTTGTCAAAATTTCAAATTTACGAATATTTTAACTGAATTATAACAGATTAACAGACCGCATCCAGGTTGGATGTAATATTCACATTGACTAACCATCTCATAGGTATCTTGGTTCGTGATAATAACTATTATAACTATAGAATCTATATTTTTGAATTCATCTATTCTGTGGTATAACTATGGCACTATAATATATAAGTTAGTACTTACTAAGTGTTCTCATCCCATTTTTTTTTTTTTTGGTTAAATTTTGCATATATTCGAATTCTGATTTTTGGAATTTTTAGTGTAGAAGTCTGAAGTGTGTTTGTTAAGATTTTTCACAGCAGTTAAGGTAAGTAACATGTGACAATATTTACTTTGGTTTTTCAAATGAGAACCTATATTAAACATTTGATAAATAGTCGGATTATTACTCAAAATACATTTTGATGTCAACATTTTTGATTTCCGTCAACCCGTTAACGAGTTATTCCACTTTTAAGTTTAGGTAGTGGGAGAGTAGTAGAGTATCATTAGTGTGGTGGCACGGCGTTTTGTTAGTGCTATATGATGCATTATACACATTATGGACGTTTTAGGACCGTAGACGCTATCTGTACGACTTATCAAACAAATGGGTGCGTTCAGATTTTGGCAAAAATATGACGCCAAGTATTCCATTCCTATCTTTGATCTCACAGTGGCATTATATAGGCCACATAGAATATAGAATATAATGATATAATATGCTAAATATTGTATTATTATTTATTATTATGATTCTGCAGTGAATTCATGATTAGTGATCTATTCATTATCATTTTACCTATTTGAAATGCGTACGGGAGTATGGGACAAAATAAATAATAAATAGGTTTAATAATAACGTCAGCTTAAAAGAGATAGTTGTCTGTATCACAATAACAATAAAAAATAATTATTACCGTCGGTGCATTATAGGTTTTCTCCTCTGCTTCTATTAAATTCATTCTAACTATTAACTTATATTGTATTTTTTTGAACTCTGGCTCTAATAAACCACATCATTTTTGGTACATTTTTTACTGTACCGATTGTTTAATCCTCAGTGTTTAACATTCCTTATAATGATTTATTTGTTTTACCCTTATAGCAATAATGTTGTAAATTTCAATTGTGGAATTATCATTGTCTATTAGAAGTATGAATTTACAACTAATGCATTGTTTTTTGCGTATATGCGGATTTTTAATCGTGCAGTATTGACTTTGAATTTTTCGTTTAGCATATAAAATGGCCCTGGACAACTGTGAAGAGCTCCTGTACGATCAAGCTTGCTTACAAGTACAGGCCTTCAATTCACCAAACATTTCGCTATGGACACAGGTCGAAGAATGTTACAAAGTGAGTGAAAACATAGATTGGATTTTAAGGTATTGTCAAATTATTATTATTTTTTTTTTTTAATCAGTGCCATTACTCTGAATTTGGGGTTCTAAGGGTTAAAAAATGCTATATCTGAGTTTTTTTATATTAATATGGGTACTTTCTGGAGTTGTGATGCATTTCAACATTTACTATTATCTTTATAAAAATTAAAAATAATATTTAGGTAAATTGCAATTTATTAATTTAATAATGTTCCAAAATACAACAACATTTTTAAGTAGATCTTCATAAAACAAATTATTCTAAATAGGTTAACCAGTAGGAACCTATATTGACAATAATTAACAGTATTTCCAAATTGCTTAGTAACATTTGCCAAGTTTTTCTTTACTAGTAGGTACTTATCCACTTAAAGTAAAATAATATTAATAGTACTTATATGTTTAGTTCTAGGTTAATTTTTTTACAATTATTTTATACATTTTTTGTGTTCTTATATGTACAAAATAAAAAATAAAATAATTATATTAATATTCAATATACATACACCTATGTGGGTTATTAATGATAAACTAGTCAAACTAGATAAAACATTTTAAATTAATGGGATGTGTAATTTGTGCCTACTTCTTTAAAGTTAAAAATAAACCTATTTTAGTAATATTTATTCATTTTTACTTTTTTTTATTCCTAGTGCGATTTACTGAAAGAAAAAAATATAACTAGCAATGGAGTCACAAAAATCAGATTAAAGACAATTTATAGTCTTTGGCTTGATTTGACTAATGACAGTAGCCATAATAATTGCAGGTTGTTTGTTATTATTATTATTTTTACTTGTTACATTTAATTTAATTATACATGTTTGTTTTAAATACAGAAAACTTTTTACTTTTGAAGAACATGGTGTGTATCAGTGGAATATTACAAACAATATTAACTGTTCACAAATTGAACAAATATCAACTCCTCAAAACTTTTTTATGCGTAAGTGGTTAATTTTATTTTCCATTGTAAACTTAGGTAATCTAGTTGTGAACTTTATTTTGGAAACTTGATAAATTGACTTGTATAGGTAATTAATTTTCGAAGTTGTTTATATTAGTATATCATAAACCTTAGAGATTAAATTTTTGTTTAATAATGAAATTAATATCTTGAGTTTGAGATATGTAATACACTATTATGGCTTATTATGCCTTTTTATTAAAAATATTATAATTATAGCTTCGTGTTCAACACTAAAAAATATATTGAAAAATGTGATGGCATGTACATATTAGATATTTAAGAAATCATACAGGATGATTCACTAAGTGTGCTCACTCTTTTTTTTGGTTAAATTATGCTTATCAAAAATTAGAAGTTTAACGATTCTTAAAATTTTTAAATGTAGTGAAGACCAATATTTTTGAATACTTAGATTTTTCACAACATTTAAGTAGTTTCCTGTGGCGATACCAACTTTGATTTTTAAAATGAAAACCTTTAGTTAGAGAGAGTAGTTGAGTACTATCAAAACACAGTGTGCCGTGTCCCCATACAAATGATACTCCACTACTCTCCCCTTGCTTACACTTAAAAGTGAAATATCTTATCAGTGGGTTGACCGAAATCAAAAATTTAACACAATCATTTATTTAAGGTAATACGCAGTCTATTAATGGAATGTTTAATATAGGTTCTCATTTGAAAAAACGAAATTTGGTATCACAAGATATATCGGCTTTAACTACACTTAAAAATTCCATAAATCAGAATTTGAATATATGCAAAATTTAACCAAAAAAAATGGAGTGAACACGCTTAGTGAATCAGTGTATAATGTAAGAGTGATTGGTAGTTCTTATGAATCATTAGCATTATACACTTGCACTATTTCTCATAATCTTATACTTAGAAGAACAATAACTCATTTTTGTTATTTGTATAATAATTTATTTTTTATTAAAACTTATAATTAAAGGTATAAATCTAGTTTACGATCCAAGCTCGTTTTTCAAATTTTTTTTTTTTTTTTTCCAAAATGTGATTTTTCATGCTTAATCCATTGATATAATTAAAACATACACATCATACTTACTTTTATAGTTATTGTACATTAACTTGAAAAATAGAATTTTGGGAATTAATCCAAAATGCGATAAAAAAAAAACATTTTTGAACTTCATGAAGTTTTCCCTTATAACTTCCAAACAAAGGTTTGTTTTCTTAGATTCTTAATGTAAAAATGTAATGGCAAAAACACACATTTTGAAAAAAATTTGAAAAACAAACTTTGGTCGTAAAAACTAGATTTGTTCCTAAGTAAATAATTGTGTACATGCCTTATAAGTGCATTTATAATTTATATCTTTAATAATCATTTGAATGATTTTATTGTTAAAAAACAAACATACTTCGCACGAAGGGCGGACCATTATTCTAGGTGAGAAATTGGTAAGGTAGGATACAGAGGGGAATTTAATGTATATCTGTACACAATAATTAATCATTGCTAATAAAGAACAATTCTGAGCAGAGTTTGATGATACATGCTTTGAAAGATCATAATATTTATAATTTTCATCAACAATAAATGTTAAAATTCTTATAAAAAAATTTTACATTACACTCAATTTTTTTTTTACCACAAAGTTTAATTTATAATGAACCTCCTGTTAAATTTTCAAGTATTTCTGTTTGGTATAACAATTTTATCTAAAGAATACCTATCAAATAAATATTATGTAAAAACTTGCAAAATTAAAATGGCATTTATAGAGAAATGGCTCAAATGTTTTTAAAATTTAATATGTCTATAAAAGGCAAATGTAATGTTTTTATCAAAATGTCAAGTTTTCATAAACATTTTTAACTGAATCATAACAAAAAAACTAAATTGAAATTTATAAAAGTATTTTTTTCGTAAATATTCCCTTTTTTTCTACAATTTTTCCTGGTTTTTTTTAAAATTATTTTTAAAATGCTTGGAAAATTAAAAATTAATCTCCCTAAAGTACCACATGTGGACAATTTCCTTTTAGAAAACATACTACACTTAAGAAAATCGGAGTAAAAATTATAACCATCATGGTAAAACAATCCATTTCTCACTTCACTCAGAATCTAAAACATGACTTAAATTTTTATTTTTTTTTTAGCATTTGTATATGCATTATTGCTAATTATACCATCATTTGCTGTTTGGTTTTTCATCAGTTATTTGCAAAGGACTAATGTAGTACCATCTGTGTTCAGATTTGCATCAAAGACAGATTTGGATATTGAAAATGTAATGTATATTTACTTTTAAAAATTCATAGGGTTCTGTGTACTTATATTTGTATGAACTATGAACAATTGTTTCAGACGGCCTCTAGCCGTGATGTACCAATAGTTGATGGTTCTGATGTCGAATTAAAAAGCTCGGTTTGATTTAATATTTCATGATTTAATTACTAATTTAAAATTATACAATTGATAAATTTTTCTTATTAATTGGTGTTTGGAATAATTTAAATACTAATTTACTTAAATGTTTTAATTTTCTCATATTCATGAGGTGTACATATACTAATAGATAGTTATTTTTTATTTTAAGTAATAATAAGGAATTCTATATTTTATAAAAATGTCTATTAAAAACCTACCATTAATTATTGATATTAATTAGGCATTAAAGTCAGTTAAATATAATTTGGATAACTAAATAAAATATAAAATATTTATAAATTTAATAATGTATCACTAATATAAAATTATACTTATATTTTTGTGTCATACTAAAAATTTTTTTTTTCTAAGTATTAATAATTATAATAATATTTATTGAATTTGCAACTATACAAAATAACAATAAAATTACATAAATTATAATCAAAGAGTCAATCACTTCTAAGCCAATGATTGTGTAGAGATGGGAGTACAATTATTAGGCAAATTTAAATTAATAAGATATGTAGGACAAAATTAAATGACATAATATAACAACAAATAGTAAAACCTTATATAATATAATGTAGATGACTATGCAAAAAATCAAAATATCAAGACCATATCACATATTACTAAAAATAATAGCAGCAACACATTTTTTATAAAGACTCAGATCATAAAAGTCCAAACTATGAACATTCCAATTAATACAAAATTTCACAAATACATAATATGGTCCAGACTAATCAAATGTTGTTCTTAACTTAGGAATACATAAATTAACATTATTTCTAAAATGATTATTATGAATATAGACAGTTAAAGTTACAGTATTTTTATGCTTAAATATTAATGTACAAACATGATATAAATGAATTAAAGTAAGAATAAAAAAAATTTAATTTTTTTATATAATGAAATAGTAGAGTGGAATCTTGGCTTATTAAATAAATACTTTATTAACAAATTTAATGTGGTCTCTAATTTAATTATATGTGTTTTATAAGCAGCACTCAATAAAATAATTAAATAAGATTCAATTGGTTGCTTTTTATATCGTTTGTTTCAGACTATCTTACATGATATTTTTAAGTGGCTTAAATACGATTATACGATTAAAAAACGATTATTATCTAACTAGGATTTAACTTTATTAAGACCTACATTAACTTTATTTCTAACATTATTAACACAATCACTAATAAATATGATTGTTGTATCATCTGTAACAATATTTCAGCATCAATGTTTTGGTTAAGAAGTCCATTAATATAAATAATAAAAATAAAGAACCTAATATGGTTCCTTAGAGCACAGAATATTTTATAAGTAACTCATTACTAAATATAATGTTCAATTTAATTAACCCTCTAATATTTATTGGTAAGGAATGACTTAAATAAATTTAATTCAAAACCTCATACTCCCAGTAGTATTCTAGGTTTATAATTAAAATATCATGATCAATCGAATCAAAATGCTTTTTAAAGTCTAGAAATACACCAATATTTTTTTTTTTAAATCTAATTTGTCATAAATAATTTTTGTAGAATAATAAAGTGTGTCATTGAAAAATTCCTAAATCCAAATTGATTTTTATTAACAAAATTATTTTTAGTTGAAAACTTTGTTAATCTTACTTTGACATATTTTTCAAGAATTTTAGTTATAGTCAACATTAAAGTTATTGGTATATAATTTGTACAATTTTTAATATTTGAGTTTTTCGAAAGTGGTATAACTATTGTTTTTTTGTAACTCAAAGGAAATTCTCCGGCTGATAAGCATTTGTTAAATATAACTGATAGTGGTAGTGATATATAATTAAACTTTTTTTTTAATACCATGTTAGACACAGCTCTTTTATACAATGGGAGATAGTCTTTACATTTATCAATGAAATAAGTTATTTCATTTGGCTCAATTGGACCAAAAAAATTGAGCTCTTAATATAGCAATTGTGATTGAGTTCATTCCAGCCTATAGGTTTAGAATTATCTAAATTTTTACTTTTAGAAATATTTATCTCTACATTAATAAAAAAATTATAAAATATATTAGCAATCTTATTCTTGTCTGTAATAATATTATTACCAGTCTCATTGAGTACCTACTTCAGTTATGTTTGAATCTTAATTAGTTTTTGTATTAGATGCCTCTTTAACACACTTCCATATCTTTTTTGAACTGTTACCAGCTTTAATAATTTTGTTAAGTTAATACTTTTTTTAGCATCTTAAATCAATTTATTTAATAAATTCTTGTAAGAGATATAATCATATTTAAAATGTAACATTAAATGGTTGCTCAACAGATTTACTATACATTTTTTCTCTCACTTTAATTGAGGTTACAAGGCCTGCTGAAATTCAGTTTACAATTTTTTTCATATTACAGTTATGATTGATAACACTTGAAGATATTTTTATTAAATCATTAATTTTGTCATTAAATATATCAACTGTCTGTGTAATGTTTTTATTTTCTAATAAATAAATCCAATACTCTTTTTTTATTAAAATATTTAAATGTCAATGATCTACTCCAACATAACCTGAGTTTACATCATTATTAATATATTTATTTTCTATTTTTAGATTGTCTGTATTAACATTTAGAATTAAACTCATATGATCAGTTATACTACTTTGAAGGACATATGATTTAACATTGTAATTATGCAAATTTTTTATGAGTAGATGATCTATACATGATCTGGATAGATTTTGTATTCTAGTATAAAGATTAAAAGTCGAGTGAAATCCAAAACTTGCGAATGCATTTAAATACTCAATAGATACCAAATTTTTACTTAATAAAATTATATATTTAAGGATATAACTGAAAGATATTGATTTAAAACAACAAAAATTCTCCAGAAATACAACTTGGAGACCTATATATCATGATTAGGTAAAACAAACATTTATCATTAGAAATAGATATTTCCAAAGAGTTACATCCTAGTAACATATTTTTATTAAAATTGATATACCATCAGCTTTATTAGTAATACAAATAGAATTAGTTAAAGTGTACCTGTTAATTGAAAAATGAATATTTAGGATAAGCCAAGTTTCACTCAATACTATTACATCTAATTCATGACTAATTGTATTTAATAATATTAATAGTTCATCATATTTGCTTTGAAGCTTCTAATTTTCATTATAAATACGGAAAAGTTATGTTTATAAAAAACTGTATCATCTAAACTATTTTTATATTTTGATAAAAACGACTTGATATTATTAATTTCTTTTTTATTATATCCAAATTGTTGCATATTATAAAATAAATAATTTGAACCTATATATTGACGGTGTTTTGTTAAAAGGGCATCTATCAAATTTCATCTTATTTCAGGAAGCCAAAAAAAAAAAAACAGTTTTTAATTATATATACTTTGGGAAACAATAAAATTACTTGTTCACAGAATAACTTGTACACAAAGTATATGTATACTGAATGTGATATTACACCCTTTTAACAAATCAGTGTTTATGTAATTATATTTTAAAAGGGCATCTGGATATCTTTTAATTGACATTACCTACTTAATTTTCTGTATTTAAATACACCCTTTTACTAGTTTATGTTTTTAATTTTTCTGATTATGTGATACCAAGAATTTATTTTTCGATTTTTAGTGGTATACACCCTATTAATAAAACACCACCGATATTATAAACTATAAATTGATCAATACATTTTATTTTTTTTTTAATAGTAAATTTTAATAAAATTAACTTCAGATTAAAAATAATAATAATAATTATATTATTATAATATTTATTAATTAATAAAATAATAATTTATAGTAATTTATGTATATATATTTTTAACATTTCAGGATTTTGGAACTGGTTCAAATGAACCAGTTATTATTCACCCACAAATTCCTACTCCAGTCAAAAATAGTAGTTATCGAATCACATCATTAGATGCATTCAGAGGGTAATAATTTAAATTTTAAAATTAAAAATAAGTTTATTCAATATTAAGAAATTATTATCCCCTTAAACATAAGAACTTAAGAAATAGAAACAAATATTTAAGTTTGTTTCCAATGTAGCAATATACATATACATATGTATACTCAACTTTAATAGGTTTTATTTAAATACTTTTACGGTTTAAATTTTTAGTCATTAATGTATAATATACATATTTATACAAAATTACAATCTGTACAAATATTGCTATTACCCTGGAGTTGTGCATTGATTAAATATAGTAATTATTTAATAGTTTGAATACATAAATATGTGTAAAACTTAGTCATCTACAATAAGCTCAGTTCATTCTTGTTTATAGAGAAATTGTAATGTTGAAACAATTATAAAATCAAAAATATTAGTTAATACATTTTGATTAATCTATTATGTTATTTTTATTATAGGATATCCATTATACTGATGGTATTTGTCAATTTAGGTGGTGGCCATTATTGGTTCTTTGAACATGCTCCATGGAATGGTATTACATTAGCAGACTTCATATTGCCATGGTATACAAAATTGAAAATAAGAATAACTTATTTTAGAGTCTGTTGTTTAGACCATTGTTTTAAATTTGAATATATATGCTAACTAAAATAATCGTTTTTCTGTTATTAGGTTTTGTTGGGTTATGGGAGTAAGCATAGCAATATCATTACGATCTCAACTTCGTTCAAGTACTAAAAGAAAATATGTTTTTGGTCGTGTTGTTCGAAGGTCAATTGTCCTATTGATTATGGGTTTAGTACTAAATTCAGTAAACGCAAATAATTTAACCACATTTAGACCAATGGGGGTTTTACAAAGACTAGCTTTCATATATTTTATAGCGGCAACATTGGAAACTATTTTCATGAAACCACAGCCTTATTTTACGGTAATTTTTTTTCTATTACAGAACATAAAAACTAATGAGATTAGATGACAATATAAACTCCAGTGGTCAGGTTAAAATTTTGTAATCAAAAATTGTTTTTAAAAAAAAAAATGCCATGTTAAAAGTTACAACTATTTAAATAAATCAACAATTAATATGACTGTAAACACTGTTTGTTGCGTAAAACCATTTAAAAAAAAACTTACATACTGCCCTCGGAAATATTATCATCTTTAAACGTTATTTGTGTTTAAATACTAATATTACAACCTAAACACCTCAATTTATGTTCTAAGTAATGTAATTTTGCTATGTTGCCCATTAACATGTAGACAGTAAATTATAATGGTGCTAATTCTCTAACATACTTTATATTTTAAAAATAATTTTGTACATTTTTCTTAGAATACAAAATTGGATATAATCAGAGATATAATTGAAAGTGCTCCACAATGGTTTATAGTAATTATTTTAGTGGCTATTCATTCTATAATAACTTTCCATTTCCCTGTACCTGGTTGCCCTAAAGGGTATTTGGGACCCGGAGGCCTGTACAATAAATCGTCAAATGTCAATTGTACAGGTGGTGCAGCCGGATATATTGATAGACTAGTGTTTGGTGAACGTCATATGTATTCTGGTACGTCTAAATCTGTTTATCAGTCCCTACCATTTGACCCTGAAGGTAGGTACAAAGAATTTAATTTTTTACAAAATTACATTTCTAGCATATTATTAATCATTTTTTTAATTTCAGGTATTTTAAGCACTTTAACAAATATTTTACTTGTGTACATGGGAGTACATGCTGGTCGCATTATTTTATGTTATCAGTATACAAATGAACGGATTAAACGTTGGATCGCATGGACAATTATACCTGTAAGTATAATAGTATTTCTAATAACATTCTTAATTATAGTATAAAGGCTGTAACACGAAGATCTGAAATAACATCTGTTCTAATTATTATTTTTAAGCTTTTTCATTTGCAAATGTTATTAGTATTTTTGGTTTGGTTTTACAGCCAATTGTATGGCTCACAGAGATTACATATTAAAGAAAAGCAGATGGGGATCTAACAACACCTTGCAGTCAAATTTTGATATTGGCAACCATTTTGTACTAGAATTAATGCAAACAAAAAAAATTGATATCTTAACATTCCATTTTGTTACTTGATATAAGAAACTAATATGTTAAATTTGGTCACGATAATTCACCCCATTCACTTGTCACCTGAGGGTTGAAAAAATATCAAAGGATTAGTTTTATTGGCTTTTTCAATTTATTTCAAAATCTATATAATGTAAAGGTAACAAAATGGGGTGAAGGTCAGAAGTCAAAGATATTAATTTTTATTTCGTCTACGGGTATACGGTCTGGGAGCATATAATAATTGTACACGTGCCTGGTTTCTGAGTATGCAACACCACTACTCATCGACCGCCCTTTCGATCTGTTGTGTATATATGTAAATAGCAACTCTAAGAAAGTGGATATGGTCGCTGAGCAAAACCTTTGAATGATAGTGTGCAGTGGGTGTGTATGTGTGTATACTTGTAGTTGTGTACCTTAAAACTATGTTAACAAAGGAACAAATAAAAATAAATGGTAATCAGATTGTTGTGGTGGTAATAAATTGTAAAATAATAAAGTAAAAACAAAATTCTCAAAATGGTTAATACTCGTAAATAACTATATAAATAAAATTAAAAAATTAATATTTTCTGGAGTATTAGATTATTATGATAAGTGTATTATAATATTGAGTAGAATTTTACATTTTGACTATGATATACCTGATGATGAATTTTTAATTCGAAACCGGTTGTATAATACACTCATCATAATACTCCAGGCGATGCATTTCTAATAAGAATGTTAATCCAAGCATTGAAGAACAGTAGGATTGGTATCACTGGTTTCTATGACTTCTTCTGATTACATCTGTGTTTATAGATTCTCTATGAACTTCTTCGTTTGATTTTACTAATATTTTTTTAATTCATGTCTTTCATGTTTGGTTATTTTGTAATGAATCCAAAATATCCAAAAGAAGAGACTTAATGAGCTTTTTTTAGAAGGAGGGGTTGACTCTAACCAATAAGTCCCAGAAAAACCTGAATTTGAATTTGGTTTTGATTTTCAACATCCTCATGAGTCATGTAAAATACTGCACTACTCTACCATTTAAATGTCTGTCTTAACAATGGAAACCCCTCCCCTCATAGCTCTTCTTTTGGATACATTACAAAATCCCTAAACACAAAAACCATGTGTTACAAAAATATTAGTGAAATGAAAACTAAGAAGTTAGTAGAAAATCTAGCAACAGGTGTGCTTATAAAACACCATAAAAGCCAGTGATATCAATCCTACTGCTTTTAAATGCTTGGTTTACGAATAATACTACTAGTCTACTTTTGATTAGCTCTACTTGTATATATTTATATATTCCATATAAACATAGTTTGGTTTTATTATTTAAAAAAAATGTTAATCTAATAAGGTAAATCAATTCTTTTTTATCAGTTTAAATTGTTTTACTTTGGTTTGTGTTGAGATTTTTGTAGTTTTGTGTAATAGTCAATAACAATGAAAATAGGTAATATAAAAGTATTATTATATATTTTTTTTTTTTTTAGGGTCTAATTGGAGGTATTTTGTGTAATTTTTCTAAAGAAGATGGTTTTATACCAATAAATAAAAATTTATTTTCTTTATCATATGTATTTATTACTGGATGTTCTGCATTCTTATTATTCATAATACTGTTTCTAATTATTGAACATTGGCGGCTATGGAGTGGATCACCATTCTGCGAGATTGGTGAGTTTAAAATTTGAAATAATAAAATATATTCAAAATTTAAATTAATTTCGTTTTACCAGGTCAAAATTCAATTTTATTATATCTTGGACACAATATATTTTACAATACACTTCCATGGAGGTGGCAACCAGTAAACGAAACTTCCCATACAGAACAATTAGTTATGGATTGTTGGGCAACAATTTTTTGGTGTGCCATTGCATTAGTGATGTACAAAAAAAATATATTTATTGTAGTATAATTAGTAAATATAATAATGATAATTTTTTTCATTTGCAATATCAGCTAAATTGTTACTTATAATGACTTAATGGAACAAAGTACTTTCATTATTGTCCAAAAAATGAAATTTAAACTGTTATAATATCAAAACATTTGGTTTAAATCAATTTAAAAACTTTACCACAACTAAAATTATTTTTATTAATAATTTAATATTTAAGTATTATAGAATGTAAAAATGTGTTTTTTGAACATTAAAAATTGTACTAATAATTAAAGAAAATAAATTTCAGGGTTTCTGATAAACTTCCATTCAAATTATTTTATTATTAGGTAAGATTTATTCAACTTGATAATGTATTAAAGTACTTAATTATATTATTTTTATATTATTATTTTACCCAATGCTCATTATAAAGTATTTATTTTATTTTTATTATTGTAATCATTTTATATTAAAATGTTTAATACATTTTATATCTTTTTCTTATGTTTTTTTTTTGATTTTTTATCTTTGTGATATTGAGATTTATGATTATAGTGAGAGCTACTCTTCTTTTTTTCATTGTATCCAGTGTTGCTTTTACTTCCAGTCTTATTTTGTTTTTCTCCTTTGTTATTACTTACTTTTTTTTCAACTCCTTCCTAATAAAAAAAATATCACATATAAATATAACTACATTTAAAATGTATCATATCAATATCACATACCTTTTTTGTTTTTTTTTTCTTGTTTTCCTTGTCTCCTCCTACTTTTTTATTTCTTTTTTTCCCATATTTCTTAAATGTACCATATGATTCATAATTATCCCAGAATTCATTTTTCTTGTGTTTTTCATTCTTCTTATATTTATCTCGAAATCCCTATTTATCGAGTTACAACATGTCTTTTATTAACCTACTATTATTATTAGAATTTAAATAACATACTTTTTTTGTTTTAAATTTTTTAACTTTATCGCCTTTCTTGTACTTTTGTTCCTTATTATTATTTGTATGCACATGCAATTCTTCACTATGGCCCCCTTGATCATTATATTTATCATTGTGTCCTTTTTGTTCTTTGAATTTAGTGGATTTCTTTTCGTTTATAAGCTTACCATTTTTATACTTTTCTGCATTTACTTTGGTATTACCTCCTTTTGATTTTTCAGACTTCTTTTTGCTTGTTTTATGAGCATCTGACTTTCTTTTATTCGTCTTATGTGCATTTGACTTTGAACCTTAAATTATAAAATTAATTTTAAATTTTTGGTATTTTATTAGAAAATAATTGTCTATTCAAAAAGAAATTGATCATTAGTTTTTCATAGTCTTAATAATTGTATAAAAGATGATATTATAAACAATTTATATTACACTACATAAATAGGTAGAGAAGTATGTGAAGAAAAAACATTGAGTTTATATTTCTACTGTCAATTATAAAATTGGCTAGTTTGATAGATTGTAGGTATTATTTATGTAGATTTTGAACAGTTTACAATTTAACTGTGTTTATATTTTTTTTAAACTTTCCTACCAAAAAAAAAAAAAAAAAAAAAAATGCAAATAAATAATATACCTATTTTCAAGTTAAACTTTTATCCAGTGATTTTTTACTTTTCAAAAAAATTTGAAGTATAATATTTCTTTAGAATAGGTATAATAAAAAAATAATATGATTATTACTTGAATTATTCATAATAAGAAACTGATTTGAATTTCCTAATTCTTTGTTACTAAAATTATGTATTCCAAAGAAAAATCATTCCTGGTTATTTACATTACTGTAATTATCTTATCCTAATAATTTTAGATTTAGATTTGTGTGCGTTCCCTTAATGTACAATTGAAATTTTTATGATTTTCAACAAAATTTAAATTTAAAACGTTTATAATGAAATACTACTCTCAAATATTACTTTCAACATTCTTGTATAATAAGACAGATTTATCCAAAAAATACCTATCAAATTAAAAATTAAAAAAGTCGGATATACTTTGCACATGGCAGAAGTTGAGAAGGTATAGAGAAAATTGAATGTATAGGTATCTGTACACAATGGTTAATCTTTCCTAATGAAAACGATTCTAAGCAAAGTTTCGTCAATAGTGTTGATTTGTCTACAATGTATATCATATTAAGGTGAAATAATTACACATGCATTAGATAGTATCTTTAATAATACCTATCTGTTTAATTTGTAACTACATTTCCGTTTTTCTTCCGGTTTTTCTCATTTATTGGGAAATAAATTAAAAAGTGGCTTTCCTACCACGTCAATCAGATTTCCTTTCAAAAAAAGTGCTATCATTGTAAATCGGGTGTGTTTTTGTATTATCTTTTTTAATGTGTATGAACAACTTTTTTACCAGAAAACTTTCTCCAAAGTATAGACTATATCATCTTTTTGGAAAGGTAATTTTCTGGTAATTTTTTTGATTTTCCAATGGGTTTTCGAAATAATTGGAAAAAATCCGAAAGAAAAGTATAGGTAAAACGGCAAATGTTTACGATGCTCCGCGCCGTAGCATTACCGTTTTCATTGATTTTATTATGTTAACACGATATTTTCTACCAGAAATATTACTCCAATCCAAAAATGATAAGAGATCGATTTTGTTTCTTTTAACACACGACGAAGAAAGTAGTTTTTTTAATATCTAAAGTGTTTTTAAAAATACATAATTGGGAAAAATCAAAAAAAGACGAAACATATTTTATTATTATATTTAATATATTTTTTTTGAAATTACGGCACAACGATTTAATTATTTTATATTTTTACGGCTTAAGTTTTTTTCCATAAATATTGCTCCAATAGATAAACGATAATTTCGCTATACCTAAGTTAACCTAATGCTATGTCGTTGGAATAACACTTTTATTCGAATGTGTATTTAGGTCGCATTGTTTGTAGATACCTACTTTTTAACGACTGCAATGCCCATGAATCGGTCACAACGAAGTCTTGAGGGTGATAGCCGCCAGTATAATAATAATCGAGTAGCGGTGTACGTTTTAATCCTGCGCAATCCGTGATGGCGGCTATTAAAATTAGCTATACGAACAGGTCATGAAAAAAATAATATTTACAGGATTATCAAACTTTGGAGAATGTCAAAATATTATTGTCTATATTATATTATATCTTAATTCAAGTATTACCAGTGGCATAGTTATGGAGGGAGGGGGAAATTATGGGAATAGATCCTCTTCTAGAACTTTTTTTATGTTCAAATTTGAACCTTAGTATACCTATTCGTAAAAGTATTTATGATGTAGTTAATGGTAATCACTGATCATAACTAAGTTGTTAGTGATAGAACATAATGTAGTTTTTACATTTGACGAAGTACCTATGAATAATTAGGCACTGTAGTGGGTGGAAAGTTTGAAAGGTACCAATAGGAGTAGGATAATTATACGTATATAATATTATAGAAGTTATTTAGTTTATACATTGAAATTATTGTCACATAGATTTAAACATTAGATTCTGAACTAAGTAGTATTAATATTTATTAGTCGTATTAATCATGTTTTGTGTATTAACTATACGTAACTATACTATAAGTGCAATTTTTTGGAAAAAGTATTAAGAATTTCGGAAAATGGTTCAAATAAATACCATTGGACGAAAAATCCGCTTTTTTTAATTTGTAGCATAAAAATAGAACCCAATATCGAAAAAAGTGTTTTCTGAGAAAATAACCGATCTCGATAAAACTAATAGTTTCTTTGCTACACTAAGAATCTAAAACAGATCTTATATGGATGTAAGTGGGTGGACTTTCAAACGATATTCATTTAACAAATTATTATTCTCCTCTCCCTCCGAACAAAATCATAACTACGCCACTGTATGATCTAAAGTATTATATTAATTTTGTATGATCAATAAATAATTAAATTGTAATGAATTTATTAAACATAAATCATAGACAATTTATAATCAAATAGATGATACTTAGATTTATATCACTACCATTTTGCAGGTTTTACATTTTGTAAGCCTTTTAAAATTTAGATTTAACTATATAAAAACGAAGTTATCTAAATTTTTCGAAATGATATTAGTTATCTTTGCATAACATTACCTACGAGACCACAGGATTATTATCAAAAATGGGATTTTATAGTGCTTGCATATTTCTATAAGATACTTAAGAAATGGTAGAGTAAGCTTTCATGACTCAGAGAACTAAAATTCACAATTTAGTTTTTGCATTTTTTTATATTTTAGTGCTATTTAAAGACTATTAGGATTAATTATTTTTACGATAGTTTTTTTAATCAAAATTAATATATTTTTTAATAAATTAGTAATTGAAATCTTAATATTATTTATTAATAAAATAATAAGTACCCGAGTATAGATTAAGTAAAACGAACTTGAGGAATCTGAAGAATAAGTAAGTAGTAGGGGTGGATGAAATACAAATAGAACTTTGGAAGGCGTCGGGAGAAAAAGTAAAAAAGACTGACATACTTCGCACATGGGTGAGGTTAGGTTAGGTTAGGTTAGGTTTCTTATTTTTTTTTCCCGGGTTTTCTCATTTATTGAGAAAACTAGTGAAAAAGTAAAATAATAACTCCTTAAAAGTATCTCCGTAGTCAGATTTCCTTATAGAAAAATTGGTGAAAATGGAAAAATTATAAATCGAAGCAAAATTGCTGGTAGAAAAGTTGTCCACAGAAAAAAAGATCTTTATATTTACTAATATATTTCGTATATTTTCCCATTTTTCTCCGCTTTTTTTTCGGTTTTTCACATTTTATGAGTAAACTCTGAATATGATCTCATGAAAAAAATGACTTCGTTAAAGTGCCTCCCCAGTCCCATTTCCTGTGGAAGAATTCGAAATGCAATGTTATAGGAGAATATTTGAAGATAAGGTGGATGAACAGAATAACCGATAAAGAATACTTGAAAGAACACCAGAAGGAAAACTATTGTGAAAAAGTATAGTGAGAAGACAAAATGAGTGGATAGCCATAATACGAGTACGACATGAGGGGTGAAAGCTATAATTATAGTTAAAAAGAAGCGTGGAAGAGAAGATTCATATAGGAAGGTCAAGACTGGAATAATTAATAAAGGACTAAAGATGAGATTCATATTGTACAGATGAAAAGGAAAGTGGATAATAGGGAAGAGTGGAATAAGTGATGGCTGATAAGTGATATGATAATGATAATAAATTACAAGGTAATACTATTAGTATCTACATTTTGTTATATTTATTGCAAATATTTGTTTTATACATTGCGTATATTAATGCAATTTTAAGTTCTATAAAATCTTAATCATGGTTATCATATAGGTTTGCATCCCCTCCAGGCAGTAGTTATGAACGATTATGTATTAAGGTACGATAAGCCTAAACTGCGCTTATTTATTGATTTATACAATAATAGTTATTTTAGTTTTGTAAAATGAACGTGAAATACTTTTACTCTCGTCGTCGAAATACTACCTGTTCCTAATATAGCGTTTCCATATATTGCACTTTTTGTACCGAAATATTGTGTACTGAGTGTCCTACAGTGTTATCTTTATGCTAATAATTCTTTCAATATTCATTTTTGTTTTCAATCAGGTTTTGTGTAAGGGGAACACAGATCTAGGAAAAAATACAATTTTTATTTTCATCCTTTAATTATTGAAAAAAAAATTACTTTTTATTTTATCATTTTTTAACATTTTCAAAATAGCTATTTTGTAAAAGATAGTCTTAAAATTTAATGTAACATTCATATTCGATTAATAGTTTCTTAGTAATAGCCGTTTTAATTTCTAGAAAATTGGTCTGAAAATAATTAATACTTAATAGAAGATAAAGGAATTGCGGTGCTGATTGTAATTCCTCATCGCATAACATGTTATTTTATTGAAATTTAATTATTTTCATATCAATTTTCTTGATATTAAAACGGTTATTCTTATTATTAAGAAACTATTGATCGGATATGAGTGAATGCTATATTAGCATTTTTAGAATAATATATTTTAAAAAATTGCTATTTTGAAAATTTTGAAAAATGATAAAATAAAAAGTTATTTTTTTCAATAATTAAGTAATGAAAATAAACATTACATTTTTCTTTACATATTAATATATTATGTACCCTCCTTGCACAAAACTCGACTGGAAACAAAAAAATGAATATTGATAGAATTATTAGCATAAGGATAACACTGTAGGACCTGTGACCGGGGTACCGGGGTTGGATTTAGTTCCTGTTTCGGTCCCTTTAGCGGCTTCCTAGATGATCCGGACGATCTACGCGACCGTCTGGTCCGTTTGGATAGCACAGACCTCTTTGTGGTACTGGATACTAGTAAAGTCACGGATATTCACGGCGCGAAACTAACATGCGCAAACTCTCAGGTGATAATTGAATACCGGGACTTCCCCACCGAGCTTGTTTTCGACGAGTCGAAGGACCAAGGACCTTCTTCTCTACCTGATCGGTTGGGGGTCTTCTCGCATTCCAACCGTTGGGTCGTCCTGTGGGATGTTTTCGGCCGGCCCACTTACCCCTGGTGATGGTAATTGTGTTATCAATGGCTATTCGGAAGTGCCCGGGGACTCCCTGTGTGGGCTTACCGCTCATTCCGTCGGCCTTCGGGCGTCGAGATATGTCCTACTCATGACATTGTTATGGTGAGAAGGTCGGTAAGACTCTGGCCCACGGTTAGATTATATTAGGCCTTCAGATTTTGGACTCCAGTCTACGGTCGGTGCCGTGTGGTAGGATTCGACCGGGCTTATGAGATTCACTAGGTAGTGGTTAAAGGAAACTTAACCGACGGCGGCCTGGCCGTTCGCAGACGGAACGGCGAATTGAGAAGTGGTAGCTGGGTACCAAGTTGTGATAAATTGAGTGCATCAGGAGGATCGTTCACGTTCTCCCCATTGGCTCTTGAGTAATGATCCTCGCTAAAAAAAAGGTCCGTCGGAAGGCAGGGTTAGCAGCCCATTTAAAATTCAAGGTTTTCACTATAGGGTACTATCTGTATAGGTATATGAGTAAATATTTAAATGATTTACACAATTAGAGGAGAATTATTAGGGGAAAGTCCGTTCACCTAAGCTCAACTATCAATATCTTGGCTAAAAATAAAGCTTTAAAATGTACCATAGCTAAATTTGTTTTCTTTAAAAATCAAAAGAATGAATAAACACAGTTTTTTTTAAAGTTCATTTGACCGGTTTTACTCCACGGTCGGAGTCGACCGGTCATAATATATATACATATTAAAACTACATTAAAAATTCTCTATTTCAAACATAAACATTTTATTTTTCATTAAATAACAACTCGCATATCACAAAATAATCTTTTTTTAACAGTGTATCAATAATTTGGTTGGGCCACTGTTGTAGGTGAGAAGTTGGGAAGGTAGAGGAGAATTTTAACATATATCTTTACGCAACGATCAATCATTGCTAATGCAAAACGGTTCTGAGTGGATTTTGGTTTTACATGTTTTGAAAGGCCGTAATATTTACAATTTCAGAACGACGCATTTCGTACGGGTTTTTCTGGTTTTTCACATTTATCATGAGAACTCCTGGAAAAATCAAAAAAATAGCCTGGAAAAAGTGAAAGTGAAGCAGTTTTTAAAATAAAAAATATGTTTATTGAACAATATACCTAGAAGGGTATCAAGTTTTGGCGTTTCAAAAATTTAATATGAAAAGAATCACCACGGGTCCGCATTGGATATTGAATATCGACGGTTAAGCGATCAATAATTAAATATCCTAAATATTAAATTTTACAAGAAAGTAGTTTAATTTTAGCGATGTTTTAGTGTAGTCTGAGTTAAGCGAGTATTGGTGAATTTTTTTTTGTAATAAGAAATCTGACTAAAATGGTACTTTGAAGAGGTAATTTTTCGTTGATTACAGATAAAAATTAATTTCCCCTCTATATCCTCTATAACTTACCTTCTCAACTTCTCACCAACAACAGTGGCTGCACCGTATGAAGTATGTGTGTCTATTTATAATCGTTTTAAAATCAAATTCGTATGTAAATCGTAAATATTACTGCCTTTCAAATCACGTACAACCAAACTTCGCTAAAAATCGTTTTCGTTAGCAATGGTTTATCATTGCTTATAGATATAAATTTAAATAACTTTATTTATCCTGTCTTCTCACCTACAATAGAGGCACACCTATCAGTTCATTTATTTTTTTTTGCTTATTAGCTTTTTTGGTGCAGACCTATAGATTACAGCTACGAAGTTTTCGCTTAAATACGGCTCTGAGAGTGCGCGAAAGGCGAAAATATTGCGCTCACGCAGTTCTAGTGTGTAATGTATAACGTGATTTAACTATTCGTAAACGCTATTCTAGTATTCGAGTATTTACCTACATAAAAATATCCTCTTTATTAAACTCTTGTTAATAATAGTTTGTGTTGTTTTTTTTTTTAGTTGTACTTTCTAAATTCGGGTTGACCTACAGTTAGGTTTGTACACGGTATCTACACATGTATATTAATATATGTAATACAATATTTATTGTTATAATATATTTAATATGTATACACTATGATCAATCTTACCCACACGTAATGGGCGTCACACACGTGCGCGACAGTGGCTGAGTTTCGAAATACAGCCGTTGCGTAGTCCATGTCGTCTGCAGTGTGCAGTAGCACCAGAAACCGCGGTTGCGGTCTGCGACCTCCGCTTCAGTTTGGTTCTCTGTGTGTGTTTCTTTTCCCCTCGTTTTCCTAACAGCGAACGGGTGTTACGGCACTGTCTTCGATCACGGTCCGGTCATTTAAACGGTTTGGCTAACACTGCGGCGCAAAATCATTTTCGAACGTCGCGGTAATTTAGTAGATACTATGAAAAAAAAAAAAAAAAAACTGTCCCCGTGGTAGGTAGTATCAGCGTATCGCCAGGCCTAGGAAGAGAGGTGATAGATCGGTTATGTTATATTAAAATAACATTGTTTTATATACGTGTAGATACACAGCGTTGCGCAATGACGTCGCCGTCCGTTGAATATTATAGTCTATTTTTTTTATGTCGCGGTAAAAACCAGTCACAACACTGCGGTTACTGTAGGTTAAGTATCGTCTTGACAAACGTTAAACGTCCCGTCGAATAAACTGTATACCTGTATGATTATCATATTGCTATATACTTTGCCTCATATTTGGCACTCGGTAATCGGAAAATATCCCCTCTCCGAGAATAAAGCACGGAAAAAATTATCAATTTTTTGCATACTGAACTATCAGTTCAATTTGTTGAGGTAGATTATTTTAGGTTCTTCCATCACAAGCTTGTACTGCATGTTATAATAAATTATTGCTACTTTTGAAAATATCTTGTGGCTCCCTCTAGACCAAGTGAACTACCAAGTGAATTAAATAACCTAGCCCAAAGATGAACTGTATAATATTACATTTTGATAAATTATGTCAAAAAAAAATTCCACTATCACTCAAATAAGAACCACCCTAATATATATAAAATACTACTAGATTGCTAAAAACCTGAATACGTATTATATAGTAATATTATACTGTAATATTAAATTGCAGGGTGTCCACGCGGCTTATTATAATAATATTATTATTATAAGCAGTGGTGACCAAACATTTTTTCCCTATGAAGCCACCCTTTTTTAAAACAGGTACTCATTTACCAATTTTGTTTTGTAACCATGTATTTTGAAAAAAATGAAATAATTATATTAGTAGGCAAAGGTAGCGTTTGGAACAAGGGGCAATCACCTCCCATCCCCTCTCCCCCCGAGAAAAATATTGGGAGCACAAACTTATCATTTTAACTTTCTCAAGTTAAATATTATTTAAAGAATTTTTAATCTAACCTATCGAAAACACCTGGAAAAAATGGGAGAAAAACTTAAGTCTAGAAACAATTTTATTGGGAAAATTGTAGAAATAAATATGGGAGTATAAGCATACACACTGCGCAAAGCAGCACAAGCACTTGTATACTCAGTGTCTGAATACTGTGCTCCAGAATGGGAGGGAAGCTCCCACAAGAATAAAGTTGATGTTCAATTAAACGACACAATGCGAATAATATCGGGCACCTTGAAATCCATTTCCCTACCGTGGCTTCTTCTTCTATCAAATATTCTCCCAACCCTCCTAATCTTAGACGAAAACAGGAAACTACTAGAGTATGACAAAAGATAAACGGCTCAACCAACACCAGAATGTATCCAATTCATCAAGTCCTAAACAATTTTACTCAATCTAGGATTAAGTCTAGAAGTTCTATATGGGATAATATACCTCAATCTTTCGAACTGGAGAAATAATGGAACATGCAGTGGTTCAAATTTACAGAATCATAAACAGAAACATATCCACGCAAGCTACCAATGTCTATGCTCTCACCTTGGAAAACTGCCTAAACAGGATTAGAACAATAGTACTGGACATACCCGAACTAAATAAATGCTATTCAAGTAAGGAATGGCAGACAGCACTCAGTGTGACTGTGGAGACTCAGTGCAAAGTATTAAACATATCGTCCAGGAATGCCCCCTGAGAAAATTCCAAGGAACATGGGATGCTGTTCTCACAGTGTCTTTTGAAGTAATTAAATGGGTTGAATCATTGGATTTAGAACTTTAAATCACAGGACTTAATAAAGACCTCTTTTATGTTACGTTATTAATTGCTTGCTATTGTTTATTATACCTCTTTATATTTTATTTATGTACTAAATGTAAATCTAAATAATGTTTGTTTTTTCTTTCTTCTTTTTTTATATTTATATCCATATTGTAATTTTCATTTTTAATTTTGTAATTTAAATTTTATTTATCATGTTGTACAAACTAGTGCCGTATAAACTGTAAACACACACTGTAAACACATACAATAAATAAATAGGTAAATAAATTTTTATAAAATATTTATCTTAAAAATACTTTTATATAAAAAATGTTATTCCCCGTCAATATTACCATAAATAAATATAAACAAATGTCAATTTTATAAAACGATGTATATTACTACTTAAAGTATTACGATAATACTCTTTGTACTACCATTTCCCTTAGAAACATATTATAAATTGGTATCAATTGATATAATTATTACACGTTTTAGTTGTTACCACAGATATACATACCTATATAATATACTGGATAGCTAACTCGGCGAAATTGAAGAAACCCGGCTGCCATATGTAGTTTGGTCAATGTTTACAATCTGTTATCAATATTCTAATGATAATGACAAAAGTTACATTTCATTAATAATTTTTATATAATTTTTATGTGTATATTATTGTTTGCGTGTATTATTTTTAAAGTTCTAAATTTTGAATAAATATTTAATTTGTTTAATACAAAATGCCCCGATAGAAGGCCATATTTTTTTTCTCGTTGATCCATATAGGTATTGGTTCTTCAGTTTCATGTATACAATTATAAAATATATCTGCATAATATATGAAATACATAAAGAATGTGCATATTTTTCACTACAAGATAATATTTAATAATTTGTCTCTAATATAAGTCGTGCGTGACTGAAGTCTCGCATAGACATCAAACGTATAAAATATCAAAAAAAAAAAAAAATTACTAATCGACAGAAGCAGATTATTAGAAGCATATTATATATTAACACCCAATAACGCCTATTTGAATAAAAAATACTTTTTAATACTAATTAAAATTACTAGAGCACACCAACCATAAAGTAACGACGCAAATATCCTTCGTATTACTATATACTATATATGAGAACATTTTTAAATGCGTAAATTATGATCAATTTTTTCCCCTTTAAAATTAGAACCAAGTGCCGTCTATGTTTGCTAGATAAATCTTTTAACCATAATAATTTTTTATTGACAAGAATGGGCCATAAGAAGGTATCCACTCCGATTTTTACATGACGCGACCGTTCCATAGAATATCCATTCGCGCCGCTACCGATTATAATTTATAAATATAAAATCATTATTCTTATAATATATAATTCATAATATATATTATTATGCGTCATTTACGCGCGTATACTTTAATTATATTATCATAATAGTATTTTAAGTTTCATACGTATGTATAATGTACACTGGTACAGTATAGGTAAGTATAATAATATAGGTATCGAAATCATAACCTTGCCGAGTATCTATGTACACCTATGCGTGTGGAGCCCATTTGCCAGCAAATAATCCTGCTAAATATGGCCAAGCACTCTCACACATACACACACACACACGCGCACACACAGTAATATGATTACGACATTTGCGAACTGTTCAGGTCGGCCCGGAAGCCTTGGACGCGCCCCGTGTAAACTGCAGCGTACCTACGCCGTGTCGATTAATAATAACAAACGATTCACGCGTCCGTTCAAAATCCAAGGGCTCGTTTCTCGCGAGTTCGCAAAACCCTCGATTCGTTAGGCCTATATTATATTATAGTGTATACTTGATATAATATGGACCGTTTTGACCGTGGATTTAGGTATATTATATATTATTATTATATTAACCAATTATAATAGCCAATAATAGGTACCTATGTCTCGGCACACTCGTATTTTATATTGTAGCGGTGTAAAAAAAAAACAAAATGATAATAATATAGTAAGCTTCGGTTGTACATGGGTTAAAACAATTATACATATATAATATATATTATATATCGGTTTGTGCTACTGGGGCTCGAGTGCAGCAACGAAATTCTAGGCAGAAAAATAATTGTATCACTAACGTACAAACTATAATACATCAAACAATAGATTTTCAAATCCTAAATTTAAATTGTATTATGTTTTCTCATAACATTTGTTTAAGTTATTAAATTTAATCGCTTTAAAATTACGTTTAAATGCATGATTTGAAACAGCAGTCACATACCTCCTATACGTAGTAACATTTTTATAAATCTTAGTTTAAATTTTTTCAAACATCATATTTTAATTATTTTTGTTTCTGATGATTATAATAATATGCAAATGAAAATACGGAAAATATATGAATATAACACTTTATTTATTTCTTCTAAACCCTAAATGAAGAATTTAAAAGAAATAAAAAAGCGGATTTAAAAAGACTGCATAACAAAGGATGGGTTTAGGAGGTGTTTAGAGATACTGAAATACACACTTTAGTAGTGGCATATTTGGGGTGTTGCCAGTGTTGCACTTGCTATACCAACTAATTTTCAATTATTGCAAAAGTATCGTTTTGTAACACCAAGAATATTCAAGTTTGTAAGTTATATAATATATTATTATTAAAAATAATAATAATAATAATAACGTGATTATCTAATTTTGAATATGATGACAAATTGATTTAGGTACCAAACATGATCTATGATTTCTTACAATAACTATTTGTGATAACTGATGATTGCAGCACGATTATAGATAATTATCTATATCTGAATCTATAACCACATGCTACAGCCTTAAGTCACGAACCACGCTTAGAGTACTTAATACTATATCAGATCACGGTGAATATTGTGTTTATAGATTACCTATTATTAAATACAAAAACAAAAACAGGATAATAAAATATGTTAACAACCTATTCAATTTCACAATTAAGGTATGAGAAAAAATGATCACTGAAAAAGCGGAAAAAAAATTGCAACCCCTATCATAAAATCAAA